TATTACCAATAACTTGACAACAAAAACCCTGTGGTTAATAATGTACATCAATATAACAAACATTAAAGATGATAAGTATGGAATTTATCCACTTTTTAGAAGTAGATTTTGTTTTATATGAATAGTGAGCTGAATAATACTTATCATCTCTTTTATTTCATTCTCAAAGTTTATGTAAAGAAAGATGCAAAACTATTTCAGTGAATTTGAAGGATCAAGTTGAAATAGCTAGACAAGTTGGTCACAATATCTTCAAAAGCTCATTTCAACTTCCTTTTCGAATTTACTTGTATTTTTTAATTAAAGTGAATTGTGTCTCCAGTCTTCATGAGCCAATATCTATCAAAGGTGATCTAACAAAGTAACAGCGGAAAGCTCGACACAGCCATGGAAAAACTGATCAATAAATGTACCAACAGCTGTTTGGTAAAGAAGTTAAAGCTGTTTCCAAATACCTGCGGTGTTCTTCATAGCCGCAGAACAATCAGGCACCCAGACTAACCCCCACATTGTTTGAGGTTTTAGTGCCGCAGACTTTCCCTCCACATTCCTCAGATCTCAGTCCAATGAAGTATTTGTGGGATATTCTGGAACAAGGCATCTGCTCCTCTGAGGCCCCAGCTCCAAACTTATAGGACTTTAAAGGCCTGATGCTAAACCTCGTGTTCCAGATAGCACAGCACACCTTCAGGTGTCTATGGGAGTCTCTCTTGATGGTTCAAAGCTATAGCTAAAGCTGCATACTCCTTTTGCACATCTCTGATGTTGCTGCTATTTTTAAACATCCATTACTGTAAAAATGTCTATAGCTGGATATTGGTTATTATTTATTCTCCACAGTTTTATATTGTTAAAACCCTTTACAGTACAGTATTTTATTGTTTATATCTTAGCTCTTCACTATTATGTTATTCTTATACATTTTTCTAAGGTCCACATTTGTGTGACCATTTTTTTCTATAACATTTTTGGTGCTATAAAAACTGGAATTTCCCCATTCTGGGACAAAAAGGATTTTCTATTCTATTCTATTCTATTCTATTCTATTCTATTCTATTCTATTCTATTCTATTCTATTCTATTCTATTCTATTCTATTCTTTACTGCTGGGCATTTGGTCAAACTACCTGACCTGATCACTACACTTTCAGTATGTAACAATACACTCAACCTAATGTTATCTAAAACTCCCCAGTGCAAGCACAAAGATATTTAAAGACTTAAAAAAGCTTCACAGCTTCCCTGAAGTCTTGATAATTATGCTAAAATCTTTATCATTCAAATTCTTATCTAGGCACACGAAAAACATGTTTTGTTTGTTTATTTTAACAGTAATATCTTCCATGGCGCTCTTCCTCTGCAAAAAGTTACACTAAATTTCTCTATTCTTGTTACATTCCTGTTTGATTTGCTTTTGTTTATTCTGCATTATATATTTACAAATGTCTTTATGTCAGTTGTATATTTTTCTACGTGAAGCGCCTCATTACCAAAGCAAATTCCTCATATGTGTAAAAACACTATTTGGCAATACATGTTTAATGACCAGGTTGAAGGAAATTCAACTGTCTGACGAGTCAGAAGTTCACGTGGTAGCCTACAGGTTCAAATGCATGCTTGTTTTTTTTTACAGAGAAAATCGTTTAGTACAAAATGTTCTCACCAGTAGGGGGTGCTAATGTATAGAAAAAGAACAGCTGTTGAATTCATAGAAGTTTTTAATGTGAAAATTCTTCCAGTTCTGAAGCTCCCTGCTCTTTCAACCACATTTTTATTACTTCTAAACTGCTACTGTGGTTTAATAAAAATAAAATAATATAAAGTAAAAATGTAATCTTCTGTTGGATTTCCATTTCCTTTATTCAACCATTGGTTTGGTGTAAAACTGGAGTGTTTTGTAATAATGGTTTATCAAACCTGGGGAGTTTTTTTTTTATAGTTTTAACTTCTTAAACCCTCCCGTAATTTGAAGTGCTCCTCCTCTATTTTGCATACCCAAATGGAAAAGCAAATAACTTAGGAACTGTAAGCTCAAATTACATGTGTGATGCATAATTTGAAAGCTAACAGCTTCTAGTTTCTGAATATACAAATGAATGAGTATCATCAGTTCAAACATGACTCAAAGTTGTTTTTTTTATTCTCGAAAATGATAGGTCTTTTTTGAGCAGCAGTAATAAAGACATGCTTAATACTAAAAATAAAATTAAAAAAATTATAAGAAATCAAAGCAGGGTCCAGGACCCAGTGGGGGGTCAGAAGACAGTGAGGGATCCAAAAATTGTTTTCAGTAGTTTGTGTCCCCTTAAAATAGAATAAATAAAAAGAATAAAAAAGTAAATGTTAATGTCCCATGAAAAAAATACACCTACAATTTAATGAACAATTGTACTATCAAATGCCCCACCGAGATAACAAAAAATAAAAAGTTTTAACCTTGGATTATTTCAATGAATGAATGAATAACTTGATTTCAGACAAGACGGTAAAGAATGTATCATATTGAAAAAGTTACATATAAATATTTAAATTCATTACATATATATTTGTTTTATATGTATAATTTAGTGTTTATGTCGCAAAAGCAGTAGGAAGTGAAGCTAATTTCATCATACATCTTCATCTTAATACATCTTAATCATACTGCCTTCTAACAGTCCATAACATCAGCAATATTCCTGCCTCCTATTTAACTGACAAGTTCAGACTTCTTAGACTTAGATAACTTTTATTGTCATTTTGCATATACAAAATTTTGTTTAGTACAGCTGTTCAGACAGTAAATGAATATTTCCATTCCATGAAGTGCAGCAGTGATCAAATGTAAACAGTGTGGGAGAAAAAACATGGTGCATATATGCATTGATATTGAAGTTCGGAGCATTAATATGTTTGTTGCAAATATGCAGTAGTTTTTGGTTTGGTGTTATCAGTGTGATGCAGAGTCTATGACTTGATTTAGAGTTTTTTTCAACACTATGGTTAATTATGCACATCAATATACAAACATTAAAAATGATAAGTATGGAATTTATCCACTTTTCAGAACTAGATTTTGTTTTATATGTGGTAAAGAAAAAATGTATGTGTCCCTGCAAGTCATCTAGGAGTCTTCAGTGAAATCATAGATAAAGAACAATTTTAATAAAAACTTATTAAATAATCAATTTATGTAGATATTAGTACTTGTAAATATCAATTTTATGCAGAATGATTACTGATAAAAGTAGGTAAGTAATGACAATGGGAAAAAACTTTACCCAAACCTCAAACACGGATGTTTGAATATATACAAACAGGATTTATACAAGCATAGTTTTTCTTTATTTAGAAAATATGGAGGTTTTGCTCATCAATTTTCCTGTTTGGAACAGAGTAGATCAGAGGTCACGGATTAGTGGACCGCGGTCCGGATCCGGACCCACCTGCTGGCTAATCCGGACACAACCTGATTTTTAACATTTATAAATTACTGTATGTTGTCTGACAACATTGTCTAAACGTCACTTGCGCCGCTTCTCCTGTTACCCCGAAATCCCACATCCTCCGTCTCCGCTCAAGACCTCCTGCACAAAGCAAAGCCTACAGCCTCCGCTGCTCCTCCCGCATTGCTGCGCTCCGACTTAGCTTCAGAGCTCAAGGAGAGTGTGCGCGATATTATCATTCAATTTGTAGGAGCAAAACATGCAGAAATGAAGGCTTGATTTAATATGACATATTTAAAAAAATCGAAAAACACCATAGATTTTAAAATGATTTTTTTTTTAAATATTTTTTATCTAAAAAAAAGGTAATGTATAACATGAATGCATAAACACCTAATTTTAGTGTTAAATTCTGTTTAAAGCAACAGATCATTAAAAATGTTAAAAACTGAATTGTGCTATACAAATAAATTTGCCTTGCCTTGCTTTCGGCCACCCCTCAGTGTACATTGGTGATTCCCTGGCCCCCCTTATAAAACTGTTATGGCTACGCCTCTGCATGTTCACTTTTCCCATCCTCTCTGAGTATTTTTTTCATGTAAGTCAATGGCCTAATAAAAAAAAATAGACTTAACGTCATGGCTTTTTGCGCCTCTGATTGGATGTAGATAAAATGGGAAAAGCCCTGCTATATCCGGTTTGGGTCTTCCTTACCTCTATGTAAAAATTAACAATTTTTGAAAGGTGTCACTCACACCGCTTTTATAACAGATTCTGCATTTTTTTTTTTTTTGGGGGGGTCATTAATCATGCAAATATGAAGCAAACATTTATACCATTTCACTTTGTCCAAGTGCGATATGCAAAAAGCAAATTGTTGAGTCGCTTCTTATGATTTAGAAAAACGAGAATGGACTGAGAGTGAAGACATGAAAAATGTAAAAAAAAATAATAATAATAATCTGGAAAAAAACGCAGAGTCATTTCTCCTCCTGAGATCACTCGCAGTTTCCCTCCGTTTCTGCTACTGTAATTGCAAACTAGTGCGCCCTACTGTCTCCAATGCGCATGACTGTACGTCGTAATGTGAAGTAGGCCTCCTGTTTTTCTCCCGAGCCCGAAGTCCTCTCAGTCCTCCCGGCCCCCACCGCCTCGGCGTGACGCTCAAGTAAGCAAAAACACGGTGACTGGCTGCTTGATCATTCGTTAAAGGTAAAGACTTGTTTTCTCTATAAATGTAAAGTTGGTGTTGAGGTGTTGTTTTGTGTACGGTGTTTTTTTTTTCTCTCTGCGTGCGGAAGCGGTTGGACTGCAGAGCAAAGCTTCGGGACTGTTTCCGCACGCTCGAGGGAGAGTAGAGGCCCAGTGACCCACATTCTGAGCTGCCAGTATCTGTGTGAGCGAGTGGGCGTGCGCGTGCACGGCGCCTCCTTACCGCTTTATTGTGTGAGCGTGTACGTTTGCGTGCGCGCCCGTAGACTATATATCTTTGCGTGTGTGTGTATGTGTGTGTGTTTGTACATCTGCCGCGAAAGAAAAAAAAAAAAAAACGCTGCTCCGTTTTGGCTGTTTCTCACCGGCTGGTGTTTGTGTTTTTGTCGGCTTGTCGGACGCTGCCTCGTGGGGTTGTTTGGACTCGCTCTCTCGCGGCGTTGAAGGCAAACAGCGGGGATATTTTTTTTTTAAGATTATTTCGTTTTCAATGTCAGTTGTTGCGTGACAGCTCCAGGCGCGGCGCCAGCTTGCAATGATAGAGACTGATTTTTTTTTTTTTTTAGTTTATTTTTCGCTTTTTTTGTTGAAGCAACGTGAATCGCTTTACCCATCGCGAATGTAGCGAGGAGGAAACGAGGACATTAAGAGCATTAAATCTCTGGAGTTAAATGGGCAGTTTTCGGTAGCGAGCTTAGTTAGCCTGCTAGCTAGCTATATGGGCTGTTCTCGGTTGTATAACAACAACACCTGTGGCGTTAAAAGGTATGTGGAATACCACTTATTGCTCCAACAGTTAGCCATGTTGCTAACGTCAGGGTTAATTCATTTGTAATGTTGTGTTCCTTGGCTCTGAGGAGCCACCTACTCTTCCACCACTGACATAAATTACTGCTGGAACAGTCCACTCCAGAAGCAATGAATGCACAATGAGCGAGGGGGGGTTTAATGTGCTCTTGGGGTTATTTTTTTTTTTTTATGTATTTATTTATTTTTTTGAACAAAATACATTAATTTACATTTTCAAGTAGGGATCTCCATTCTTTCTTAAATAAAAAAAAAGAGAGAGAGAAATTAAAAGTTATATGCAGGAGATCAACTTAACTTGTGCAAGGCAACAGAAATAAATAAACAGGCAGTAATATTACAACCAATGGAAATATACATAACTTATAAAGACAGACTCATTTTGCAACGAGGCAGTTTCCTGCATCATGTTAACTTTGTGAGTCAAAAACCCAGAAATTTTGACATGTCACTACATAATTTTTGTTAATGTCCATGATTGTCGGAGATAAAGCTAACAGATATAAAGAGGAATAGAAGATTTTGAGTCTGGGGGTCTTTTTACAGTCACTGTAACCTTTCTGCCTGCAGTGATATCTTTAAAATCCTGAGGCAGTGGCTTTTCCAGACACCCTTTATAGGGCGCTCAGTGAAATCCTTTAAAAATCCAAATTTCAAGCCAATAGTGTTATTGGAATCCAGGAACATACCTTATTACCTTTGTATGTCAATGTAATAACCACCAACTTATTGGTAGAAATATATTAGATTCAATTTTATATATATATTTTTATAACCAACTATAAGAATTGGCTATAAGAATCAGCTTATTTTGTCAACAAAAATGGGGGAAAGCAAGAAAAAATGTTTTTCTTTATTATAATTTTATTTTTTCAATAAAAATGGAAAGCAGCTCTCAAAGGCAAATAAAAGTGGGTACAGTAGGTAATATATCATTCAAGGGCTCATCTAATTGGTCAAATGCCAAAATAAGATGTACAGCCATGTAGCAGTATCTTTGCTGAATGGCTGGATATAGATCTTGTGCTTCTAGACCTCACTGAGGGACGGGGGGGGGGACTCCATTTGTAAGGGGTATGCAAGTGCAAGTGATCAAAAAGTGTAACTTGCCCTATAAAGGGTTAAAGATGCTCGCCAAGTAGTAGATATTTGTATCATGGTTTATGCTAACAAATATACACTTAAAATTAAAATAGGTGTTTAAGAGATGCATTGATGCGAATGATTTGACACAAAGCCAATATTTCTGAACTAAATATCTTTCTTTGCAGTTTTCATCATTCTTGGAAACATTTCTTTTTCTGTTATGAAAAGATCAGGAGTATTAAACTCCATTTCGTACCTTTTTTTTTTTTCCTCTCTAAATTGTATTTTCATCTTGTCTTATCATTTTCTACCTCTGAACAGATGTTTTACCATGTAAAACATGATCCCCCCCACCCCACCCACGACAAATCAGCTTGTTCTGTACTTTAGTAAAATGGTTTTATGAAATTTACAATATTATAATCTCATATTTTTTTTATTCGATTTTATTTAAAAAAATGACTTTTAAGCCTAATTAGTCCAGTTCATTTCGGTTCTGATTTCTGTTTGGGGTGGTTGAATTGTTTGAAGTATGATCAAAGCAAACCAAGTGATTATAGGATATGTAGTTTTAATTTTGGGTACTGTTAATTTAGTTTTCAGCTCTTTAGTTATCAAAGCGGGTATAAAATGTTCTCCCTTGTGTTATATAGGATCATTTCATCCTCAGAGATATTTTATTTTCTTCACCTATTCTTTAAAGAACTTTCATTAAAGGGTCTAAATTAGGACTTTTAACTAATGGTTATTTTGCAAATCAATCTGTAGATTATTTTTTCATAAATTGATTAATAATCTGATAGCCAATGGTTCCTTAAAGAAGATTTTTTTATGAAATTAAACCAGGAAACAAAACTTTTCCACTTGAGGAATTCTGGATAGAGCATATTGACAGATGAAAAACATTTTTTTAAATCTTAAATGCAAAATATTTATATATTTTCCCATTTCAATACATTAACTGATGTAACTATGTTGCTCTGTCAGGTAAAAGCACATTTGTGAGTCTCTGTACTACTACATTTAACGATTAATCAATGACTTAATTAGTTAACGATTATTTCAATAATCGATTAATCCGATTAATTGTTTCAGCCTTAGTCATAATAGTAATATATTTGCCAGCATAACATCTGTTAGACCTGATTTAGATTAATTAGAAGATGTAATCTGTCATATAACAAAACGGTCTGCAGGACTTTGGTACTAGGCTGAAATATACACAATACAACATTTTCAGAATTGGAAAAATAGTATTTGATCAAAGTACTTTGAGATTTGACAATTTTATAACGTAGATTCTTAAAATACTTTGTAATTGAAGATATAGCATTCTGTACTAATGTTGAAATATTTTGTTAAACAGGTATGAAATGGAAACATTAAGGAATAAAATTATGATATTGATGTATATGACTGGGATACAAATTAGCAATATATCCAAATTGACTCTGAATCGAATCAAAGGATATGATTAAACCTAAGTAATTTCCCTCTGCAATTATTAAAGTATTTCTGATTCTGACTAGATGTGGCATAAAGTATGTTACCGAAAAAAAGATTGATAAAATTTTGTTTTTAAACCTTAGTGGTGTTGAGTAATTTGTTCTGAAGTTTCAGCAAGCACTTCTGAAAAGCTGTGACCCCAAAATCAGTCAGAAGTATTTGACTTTTTGTTATTAGTTTTCTTAAGGTATCTCAGTGAAACATTTTTTAAAAATGCTTTTAATAATTAGAGTTAATTCTGGACTTGTAGCTGTTTTATTATTTTGCCAAAATGTTATTTACAGGAGAGTATAGTTTTAACATTTTAATGCTCATTGAGTAAGAAAACTTTCCCTGAAACAAAAAGTTAATGGGATCATGAAGTACTTCCACTCTTTAATTCAAACTGGAACCTACATAGGCTCATAAAGCAGGTTTTTCTCTCTTCAAATCATCTCAGGTTTTCTGTATAGGTTTTTAATATAATAATGTTTTTAAATAGTCTTCTTGGTTAAAAATCTATTAGATTAAATTTTATATTTTTTTCATAACTAACTAAAAGAATCAGCTTATTTTTTCAACAACAATGGGGGACAGCACAAACCTTTTTGTTTTGTTTTTTTGTATAATTTTATTTTGTCAATGAAAATGGAAAGCAGCTCTCATAGACAAATAAAAGTGGGTTTTTGAAAGCCCTATTTAGCCAGCTGAGTAATCATGTGCTGTCAGCAACAAACCTACTACCATGGTTGCACAATGTTTACTCAAAAAAATGTTAATTTTCCATTTACTTACCAGGAAAAAGGGAGAACGCACAGTTATTCATACTGCGGGAATAATACTATAATATACTTAGAAGTTACTCCTAATTAAAACATGTGTCATAAGCTAATAATTTCAAATCCCCCCGCCTGTTTTCTTCCATTTAATTCTTCATACATATTTTACCATTTCTTCTGTCCTGCTCTTCTCAAAGTAACACAAGCAGTTTGACTTAAAGTTGGCCTGTGTAGCTAACCTCTAGTTATATGCTTAATAGACCTTGATACTTATAGCTTTCCAACTGTATTTTTTTTTAAACATGGCTACCCTAATAGCAGTGAGGGGTTGCACTCCTTTAGTTTGCTGAACATTTCTCAGTATTTTCCAAAGCATTAAATCTTTCCACACATCTCAATTGTTAATGATTGTAAGCAAGGAAAAAGTGTGGAAATGCTTTTTCAGCCAGCTGAGCTGCAGTGCTCACCAACAGTTGAAAGGTGGCGCACACAACCAGAGGTCAGTCAAAATGGAGTTTGTGGGGGAAAAGGCTCACCTCTTTAAAATCCTAAGGAAAGTTATGTATTAAAGATTAGCAACCTTTGAACTTATCAGTCTGTATTGACACACTAGACGGATATTAATATAGACTATGAAGGATTTGTGTACCAATTATATGTGGAACTGCTTCAGTTTATTAGATCTGTTTTCCTGTTTTTAGCATGATATCCATGCTGTGATCTTATCAGGCTCAAATGATTTGCTGCAGTGTTACTGAACAAAATGAATATAAAGGAAGAATTTGGAAGAAATAAAGAGGATAAATGAATAAGAGAAACTCGGATTTGTAGCATAATGTGATGTCAGGTTAAGCCTATTTTGGAGAAGGTAGATTTTTGTCTAGATAAAATTCTTTATTTTTGCTACAAAAATAACAGCAGAGCATGGCATGCTGTTCTTTAGGTAGTAAAATCTCTATGTAAGCAAACGGGAAACGCCTGGCTTGTAGCTTTAAGCAGGAGGCTGTGTGGATAAGAGGGAGGTTGGTAACTTAATATGTCATTGATTAAAATTGCATTTCATAAATGTAGGCCATGTAGATGCCCAGATTAGATGTATTTGTCCAGTGAAAAACCTTAGTTTTATTTTACATTGAGTCTCATCCGAGTGTATCAAACTGCTGCATTTTCATTATTATGACTCATTTGATCTTTTTTATGGGTTGTTGTTTATGCGTTTGTCTAAATTTGACCAAATAAGGGACACTTCCTTTACCTGTCATATTATCAGGGTTATGTTCACCATTTAGTTTAGTGTTTATGAACCAAACTTTCTTTTTATTGAGTCTTATTTTTTCCCTGACCAAATAGCTACATGATAATTACAATACTCTCTGTGTCTGCAAATGATTTCCATACTAGCATAGTTTTTTTAAAGACATTTAGAGGCTTTTTTGTTTTGTATATTCTGAGTTTATGAATACCTGATATTAATATTTAGATAAGCTGCCAGATATGTCAGTAGATTATTAGTGTTTTAGCTTGGTGGGAAAAGAACTGAGTCATCGCTTATCAACTTCCCAGCAGTGTCGTTCACAAAGTTTTCAACCTCCTGACATGAAGGCAATCACTCCCCAGCTCTGCCACCTGCTCTGATCTGACTCATGCTCGGCTGAAAATTAGTTGCTTATATCATGACATGATTTTTCTAATTGGTTTAGTTTTCTGGTTTATGTTGATATAGAATTATGTTGCACCGATTTCTACGCCAGTGAATGAGTCAGTGTTTTCTTTGTGTTTCAGGTCAGGTGTGGTGTGAAGTGTCGTCAGAGCCTGTAAAGAAGACCTGAGTTTAAATAGGCCACTCTACGTGTGACATTCCAGCTGAGGGTAAGTTCAAAACCGTTTTTGCTGGCAAATTGGTAGTTTCTTGAATTTTTAATGGTCTAGCTGTTTGTTTAACTACTTTAGCATAGATGAATAATGCCCCTCCCCCTTTTTAAAATGTTTTAAAGAAACTAGAAGTTTTAAAATGAAAGGGTTTAAATGTTCCAGTATCTGTAATGGGATAGTTGATGGATTTAACGGAGCCTTTTATCATAAACTCCTCTAATGTCAAATCTCTTCCTATGATTGCAAACTGCTACAGTGCAACTATAAAAAAAAAAAGAAAAAAAAAAGAAAGATATAGTAGTGATTAAATACTATAAAACTGTTTTTTTTTTTATTGGTTTTCCAAGTTTACATTTGGTATTAATTAAGGATCAGTTTTGCAGTATAAACCTTTAAAGGAGTTGTTGAAACTAAATCATTTATTGATTCATTATAATTTATTTTCTAATACAGTTGTAGGTTGCAGTTTCCTTTGTTCCTAATAGACTATTACAGGGTTTTCATGGTTCATTAGAAATCATTAAAAGTCATTAAATTATTGTTTTTTAAATTAATTGGCAGTAAAATTCATTAAATGTGATTATCGTGGAATTTAAAAGGCTTTTTTGAAATATACGTTTATAAAAACATTTTCATCAGATATATTATATCGTGATTTATTTGCACGGATCTGCTTTTGGTTGATTGTAAAGCTGTATGTTCAGAAAAGAAGAATGGGGGGGGAAAAGCCAATATCAACAAAACTGGCTTGAAAACGAGGAATTCGGGACATGGTTGCAACCTGTCGACGGTAAAGATGACGAAGGAAAATTGGCAAAACTTTGAAAGTGCCCCCAAGTGCAGTCACAAAAACCCTCAAGCGCTCCAAAGAAACTGGTTCACATGAGGACCGCCCCAGGAAAGGAGAACCAAGAGTCACCTCTGCTGCGAAGGATAAGTTCATCCGAGTCACCAGCCTTAGAAATCGCACGTTAACAGCAGCTCAGATTAGAGACCAGGTCAATGCCACAGAGAGAGCCGATGCAGAAAAGGTGAACGAATGAACTCCATATACCTCTAACATACCGTTAAGCATGGAGGAGGAGGTGTGATGGTGTGGGTTTTTTTTTGCTGGTGACACTGTTGGGGATTTATTCACAATTGAAGGTATACTGAACCAGCATGGCTACCACAGCATCTTGCAGAGGCATGCTATTCCGTCCGGTTTGTGTTTAGTTGGACCATGATTTATTTTTCAACAGGACAATAACGCCAAACACCCCTCCATTCTCTTGAAGCTCATCAAGAGAATGCCAAGAGTGTGCGAAGCAGTAATTAAAGCAAAAGGTTGCTACTTTGAAGAATCTAGCATATAAGACCTATTTTCAGTTGTTTCACACCTTTCTGTAAAGTATATAATTCCACATATCTTATTTCATAGATTTGATATGTATGTATATCTGTGTATATGCACTTTACGTTCATGGACACATGTTTATGGTTTGAAATTAGGCAATTATCTATTAATAAAAGGCTTTTTTTTCCTGTGTTAAAATAAACTTTAAAAGCAAATTGATTAAAAAAAAAGAAAAGTCTTGTGCTGATGACCTTGAAGTTTTTCTTATCTCACTTGGATTCAATTTCTTTTCTCTCTGAATGCAGGCTGTGAAAGGATGAAAAACCATCCAAAATGTCCACCTAACTCCCCCTTGACCCTGTTTCTTCTGCTCTGGTTTCTTCAGCAGGTTCTGGTCAACCTCTGTGTGTTTTCCTTGTGGTCCGCTGTCCTCTCGTGACCCCAATGACCTCATTGCCTCATTTGACCCTGGAGTCAGCAACAGCCCCGAACCCACTCTGCGACATGTGAGAGATAAAAGAAGTCTGGAGTTTTCAAAAGCTGCGGCGGGGTGAGGACTGACTTCAGACTCAGACATGGTTGAGTTACATGTGAAAGTGTTTTGATCTGTTGCTCTGGAGTGTGTAATTTGAATGTATGTGTTGCTGTGCGTGTTTGTTTCATACCTTTTTTTTCTGCTTATTACCAGTGTCAAACACTTATGAATAAACGGTTTTTGAGTGCAGCCATTTTGGCAGTGATGTTTGACCCAGTTTTTATGATTTAGACCAAAACTGAAATGACTTTGATTAGCAACTATTTAGATTTATCCATTTCAAAAGGCGCTGTTGTAAATCTTTCATTCAAGTTTCTCTGTAACATTTATTACCTTTTGAAGATTTTTGCTGTACATCTTCTGTCTTAATTTAAGATATTAAACATACTATCCGATTTTTTTTTTTTTTTTTTTTTTTTTTGGGCCTCTGTAAAAGCTCTTAAACTCATTAATTTCTCTACAGCTTTCTGTATTAAATCCTACCTCTGTGCAGGCTAATAGTGCTTCTATTAGAGCGAGATGAACCAGACTAAACTAATGAGGTTTTCCGACCAGCACCTTCAGTTGATTCCCTCGTTTTTCTTTGGCTTGAATTTGACCTTCCACAGTTTGTATCGATCCACCTTTCAGGCACAGTTTCATCATTTAAATGGGTTTAGAGGTTATTAAAACAAAGCCAGAGGTTAAAACTCTGAAATATTTCTAAATTTAGAACATAAAACACCTTGGCTCAGCTGCACATTTCCTCATTCTGAGAATGCATGTTTTAATATCTGTCTAAGGCTTACTGTTCAATATCATTCATTTTCTGTTTTAAAATGTTTTTTTCTTTAAAGTTGCCCCTGGTTTACCTGAATTTTCCCACTCTGGGACAATAAAATATATTATTGCTGTTTTTATTTAAATAAGGATAACAACATTCACCTTTTATTACATAATACCTTAACATACATTTATTAGCATCTATAAGTGCCGTACTTGTTGGCACCCCCTGTAGAGATGCATAAACTTTTAAAAAGTTAAGCTTTTTTCTCTCTAAAAACTTCAGAAAATTAGTTGGGTTTATTTAGCTGCGGAGAGATGAGTGAAGACATATAACTGTTTTATTACAGATTACTTTGAAATCAAATTTTTTATAAACCCGCAATTGTTAATCCTTTGGTTTCGTTTCATCAGAGTATAAATTTGACATAAAAGCTCCTGGTTTTGCACTGTGGTATCAGTCATGGATGAAAAAACCCTTATTTTTAAACCTTTGTTTTCAAAAAACGATTATCATGCTTGTGTATCATCAAACTACCCTGCATAAATGTAAATGTAAATAATTACATTTTCTTGAAATGCATGTATTTTTACTTGACCCTGAGTTGGTAAATGAGGCAGTTTCACAATGAGATGATGTGATTTACTAAGCGTATATTATCTAATAATCTTATTTAAAGAACAAAACATTAATTAATTTGCAGTCATATTATTAACATGCTCAAATTAAGGGTAAATACACTATGAAAAAATTTCTGATTTTATTTTTTTCTAGATCAGTTTTAGTGTAAATTGGTAAAGAAAACATAGGCCTGAAAGTGTATTTAGCTATTGAGAAAGAACCTAATAGATTTTTGGTTATCACAAAAACATGAAAAATCTAACTCTTATTAAATATACTTTCAGTTGTACTGGAGATTAATGAGACTTGAAAACAGATTAGGTGGTCTAATTTTTTCCCCCCATCAATACAGCCTTGATGAACCTTCATTTTTACTTTACCTGATAAGCACAAAGAGCAGGATGGGAAGAAAAGTGGAAAAAGTCTCCAAAGATCACTGTTGGAGAGTGGCACTTAAGGATCACAGAGTTGCTATGGCTAGATGCCGTCCACATGCCAAATGGTGGTTTGGAAAAGACCTGGAAAATGGGAGTACATGGAATCATAAAACACAAAAAATCAAAAGTTACCACAAAATAGGTCTTTGAAAGGACTTCAAATTTTAAACAAATTACTGGCACAACTTAAAAATAGCTCAACAGATACAAAATGAACAATCTCCTTAAACTATTTCTTATAAAAGTAGACTTTTATTTGAAAGGTAGAAAAAAATGGAGGTATGCTCCTGCATTACAAGAGGTTGAATTTTCGCATTATGTATATTTTATTGATTTTTTTAAATTAAAATCAACGACCTACTAGTGGGACTTTTGTGTGATTTATGTTAAACCAATGAATGGGATTATGAAGGTTTAGTTTTTTTTTTGTTGCTCTGGTCTTTTCAGGTGCTTTTCCAAATGCCTACCTCACGCCTAAAGAACAAAATCCTGCAGCCACAGCCCTGATCAGCAGCCACCATGTCATCAAACATAGGGTAAGATGATGGAGGCATGCAGATACACTTGCATACATTATTAAATATGGGTCACCAAGTTCATATTATGAGCTTCTTGAATTGCCTATACTTATGAATGAAAGTATTTTTGAAAATCGTAACTGAAACTCAGTCCACGCCCTGGTAGACAGGTATGTTTACCTGGCAAGCATCGTACATACTTCTGCCTTTCTGAATCCCAATAAACTTGCATCTGCTATGCAGGAATTTTCCTTTTAGCTGTTATTTATAAGCTGCTTCAAAGCAGTCTCACAGCTGCAGCACAGAGAGAGATGAACATCACGTTTTTTGTTTTTTTTTCCTTCCTATAGGGATGATTGTTGCAGCCTCACTGATGGGTTGATAGAAGAAGATGAAAAGGACAAGGCGAAACGGTGAGCTGTGTGTCGGAGTAATGGCCCACCCCTAATCACACCACACCTCATATCTAACCAAACTGCTTTGGATTGCAGCGTGTCCCGCAACAAATCAGAGAAGAAAAGGAGAGACCAGTTCAATGTCCTCATCAAAGAGCTTGGCACCATGTTGCCAGGCAACACTAGAAAGATGGACAAGTCCACCATCCTGCAGAAAAGCATAGACTTCCTGTGTAAACACAAAGGTCAGGCATTTTCATCATCCTCGTGTTACTTCCTCTCTGGGTGGAGTTTTCTTACTGTTTTTTCAGGCTAATGATCAACATGGTGTGATCCACTATCAGTCCTGTTTACCTTCATGAACTGAACTTTGTAAAAACATGGTTTATTGTACATTTTATGGCACATGGAAATCATAAAATATAATTTGGTCTGCTTTGACCTTTTAGCTGGTTGCCATACCCTAAACATTATATTACTTGAATTGTTTTATTGAGTTATATTAGATTTGGAGAATTTTTTGGCCTTAGTTTAGGTGCAGCAAGTGGATTTGGACTAATCTCAGCTTTTATCTTCGACATATGAGTTACTTGGGATTCATTTGTCGCCACTCAGGTTCTTGATTCTGCTGCCTTTGGGTTGACCACTAGAAATATTTTTCTATGTATCCTTTGTGTTTTGTGTCTGCATCGTTTCAACCTTGTAGTTTCAAAAATCGCTAAATGTATTTCCTTTTAATATGATCCATCTTTCTTCCTTTATCAGAGATTGCAGCCCAGTCGGAATCGAGCGAGATCAGGCAGGACTGGAAGCCCCCCTTTCTTAGCAATGAAGAATTCACACAGCTCATGTTGGAGGTCAGAAATGTCACATTCTCTACTCTATTCCTGTACTGTGGGTGACAACAGTGTTGTACCAACTCTTCTGTTGTTCCCATGGTTTGGTTTTCAAATTGCAGTCAGCAGATTAAGTTCCAGTGGAAAGCTTGAGTAATCATGGATGTTTCATAGATTCTTGCCTCCTAGTAAAATGTCCCCATTTAGTTTGTAGAGGGACCACTTTTTGTTGCTTCAAACAAACTTTTGACATCACTCCAGTCTGTTATCAAAACTGGTAGACCATTGCTGTTGTGCTGAAGCCAAGCGGCGTCTGCTATATCCAATACAAACCAGTTTTAATGTGTGTTTATTAGCATCATCGTGTTGGGACGCTATTAGTTGTTGATTTGAGGTGAAGTAGAGCATTTTAGCAGCATCTATGCTGCACCCACTTTCTTCAGGGATGTTGCATCTTCACCTGATCCCTGTTGGGTCCTGTCCAATTCCTTTTTTTCTGTGAAGGATGATGAATTGGTTTAAACCTGGTCATCTTATATGGACTTTGGTCCTAAAAACGCTTTAAAATTGAGGTGGGAATGAATAATTCAGATTGCAAATAAAGTTCTTGAATGCCTTTTACAAATACAATTAATGGTCAATGTTTTAAAGCTTGGGACCTTTATACAAACAAAAATGTAGCGGTTTTCAATCCTTAACCTTGTATCATTTTGACTTTGTTGTTAAAAGAAAACACAGTAGATTTGAGCTTGTGAACAAACTATAAAAAATAGAATAATTCAAAAACAAACACTGGCTTTCATGCCAGTGATGGGTGTATTTAAACTTTAAACAGATCTATATATGCACTTGGTGATTTTTTGTTACTGAGAAAAAGCTTCTGTTTTCCTTTTGGTGAAGAATTCTTTTTCTGACTGGCAGAGCCCAGTCCTTTATTTTAGTAATGGGTTTGTACCTTTTTTCCTGCTAGTAAACAGAACATGTCACTCTGTTATTTTTACCTTTGGATCAGGCTTTGGATGGATTCTTTATAGCAATAATGACCGACGGGAACATCCTTTATGTCTCTGAGAGCGTCACCTCTTTACTAGAACACCTGCCAGTAAGTATTACTGTTTTTCTTTTTTGCTGTTATTATTGTCCCATTGTGTGGCAGTGCTGTATTAAATCTGTCTTGTGTGAAATGGTTTGGCTGTTCTTTTCTTTTTTTTTTTTTTTTTTTTACACTTCTTAAGCCTTCTTTTTTGTATTTCTCAGGCGGACTTAGTGGATCAGAACTTGTTAAACTTTCTACCTGTTGGGGAACACTCCGAAGTGTACAAGGCTCTGTCGACACACCCAGTGGAACTGGAGAGCATCAGTAGTGATTACATGAAAAGTCAGTAAAAAAAAACTTTTTTTTGTGTGTGTGTTTGTTGAAATGCTGAAAGATTATTGAACAAAAACTCAATAAAATTTACTCTAAAAAACAGTATAGATTTTTTTTAAAGTAGTTAAAAAAGATATGAATCCCCCAAAGATCCGCCTCCCTTCATTCATATCGTCAGTCAGCTACACAAAAAGCCAATTTACTGTTATATTTGGATTTACAAATGCAAAACCTTCTGTTTTCTTTCCAAAACTATAAAATATTGTAAACAGATTTAAATCGCTGTAATTTGCATTTATATTTTCTCTCATATGTTTGTTGAGAAGCCAAAGGATTCTACAATAATAGCTTACTGAGTAAAAACAAATTCAAAGTACTGGATCCTTCCACCCTCCAATCTACAGTTCTATATAATAGTTCAATTAAATGTAAATCAAATGTGGATCTGTATTTTCCAAAAATAAAATAATTTTCCAATTTGTCTAAAATCTTCTAATTTATGATCAAGGCCGTACCAGTTTTTTTTTAAGGTGTAAAGACATTATTATTCAGACTGTTGAAATCTGGTTCTCTTTCCATAAGAGAATAATCAGTTTCTTCTCAGACATCAGCTGCATGCTGCTGACTTTTAAACCATTAAGATTTGTCGATTGTTCTGAAAGTCTGGTTATAATCCAAACTGCTCAGGCTGTAGTTTTACCCCAAAAATGTATGAAAAACCCCCAGATATACTACAGTCCAACAGCTTTGCAATTCCTTTGAGGTTACAAAACTACAAAGTGATACTTATAGGGAATATTTTTTGTGCAGCCTGTAACATTTAGTTAAATTAAACACTGATGTGAGTTTATAGAACCCAAATCAACATAGTTCAAACCTTTGGTCCAAATATCATTATGTATTTCTGTTGCATTATTTGTCTCTTGTAGACTTTGCTTTACTCTTCTCAATAAGTGAAATAGTTAAGTGTTTTATAAAGGAATGAAACAGACATTTTTACAGTCACAGTTTTAGAGGCATGGATCTATCTTGTTTGGAATTGCAGTGTCAGAACTGAATGTGCAATCTTGCATAACTCCTTATTTGCTGATATTTCCTTTATATTTTTAACTAACTCTTCGTGTCTGTCTCTATAGCTAAGAATCATCTAGAGTTCTGCTGCCATATGTTGCGAGGGGCCATTGACCCTAAGGAGCCCCCCATCTATGAATATGTTAAGTTTATCGGCAACTTCAAATCCCTCAATAACGGTACGTTGCTCTGCTCATAGTTGATTTGATCATGCATGCTTAAACAATGCTGCAGGATATTTTACTTTATGCTGTGTTCATGCCAAACACGTTTCACACCGTCAAATGCTTTAAAGTCAGATTCTCTGGAAGCTCTAGATGCTCGGCTTTCAACGCTCCAGATGCTTTGCTTTGTAATCAAGAGATTGGCTTGGTTATATTTGCTTTGATGATTTAGGGAATAAAAGTAGTTTTAACACATATTTAAGTGAGAAAGTCCACCTTTAAACATATTCTTTATATTCAGTTCATTGTTGTTGTTTGGAGCATGAAAACCCCACATAGTGATGGTTCACAGTGCTGAGGATCCCTAGCAGAAGTAATCACTGCTTGCATGTAGTGTCTGTCTCTCAGACTGCTCCTGGATCAGCTTTACTAATTGGTTGATGCTTGGCGTCCAGCGGCAAAAGTTCTCTTAGCTCCTGCGTCGTCCACTCTGCACCTTTCAAAGCGCATCGCTTCAGATGCTCAAATCGGGCTGCTGGACCCAAAGCTCCCTAATGTCATCTCCCCTTGACTTAGCATGTAATACAGATACCCTGGTGTTTAAAACATGTTTGGCGTGAATGCACCATTACAGTCTTTCCCCTTTCCAATCAAACCTACAGTTGTGGAATATATTATCAGACCACAGTTGTTTTCTTCAGTTTCCTGTTCTAAAGGTCTTTTACTTGAAGAATGTAAGGAAGAAAAAGAAGTTTAATTTTTTTCATGACTATACGTTTTTATAGACTATTGACGCAGAAGTATTATTAATGTTATCTACATAATCTAAAGCAATCTTTTCTTAATAACTTTAAACAACAATGGAAATATATCTGTAGAGAAACCAAACTAATTATATACAATTTAAAGAAGAGTACCAAACTGAATTTTATGTTAAACTAAAGTTATCAAGTAAACAGAGGTCCCTGTGCTTAGTTCAGAGCTGGTAGCCTCTCTTTGGTAGAGGAAGTGGGCTGGTATAAGGGTCTCTGTTAGGAGGAGGAGAGGGTCTGTTTACTCTGTGACCTTAGTGTGATGATATAACTTTGTCCTTTATTGTACAATGATCTGAGACTATTTGAAAGCATAAAAAGAAAACAATGCAGATTTGTTTTGGTTACCAGTTGACAATATTTTAAGATGGATACTTTGTAAATATATATTTCTATTTGCCGCTTTTGTCAGTGAGGTTTGGAACAGAAGACAGACTGCTATATCCTACCTGAGTTTTGTAAAGTTAAGTTGCGTGTAACTTGTTGGTTAAATGAGTGTCTCCTAAGACCATACAGGCTGGGCACCAGCTGAAATGGTGCATGACACTTTAATAAAAATATATCAATTGTTATTCTACTCCATGGTAGGTTATCCAGTTCCCAGTCATATTAATTTCACTCCTTCAAAATTTTCCTATTTTGTCATTTTATAACTTAAAAGTTATAAAGTTGATTCTATAGACTAGCAAACAGTTCAACACAATTGTAAAGGTTGAGGATAATTTTCAGGCAGGTATTATAGTTAGGGTTTTTTGTTTCTCACAAAATAAATGTATATACTGTGGCTTGGTGGTGCATTTAGCTTCCTGCAAACCATCCTCAGTCAGCTAATCAGTAAACAGTTGGTCACCGGTGACTCATTTAGTTTCGACATACATCCAGCCGTACTGTGAAGACCTCTGAGGTTTGTTAGAGAGTAGTAACTGCATCTTGAAGACCAAGGAACACATCAAGCAGGTCAGGGAGAAAAAGTAAGGTACAGTAAGGTTTATATCTAAAAAAATAAAAAATATATCCCAAAGTTGGAACGCCTTAAACAACTTTGTTTATTCGTCATGGGGAGAGGCATAGTCGCAACTGTAAACATACCAAGACATGACCATCCACAGATGAGGTATAGAAAAGTGGCAGTAAGAAAGCAAATGTTGAAAGAAAAACTGAAGAAGTCCTGTTTGCAGTTTATCATTCATGCCAGAGCACACCTTCTTCACAGTGAAATGTAGTGGAGGTAAAGGTGTGTTGTGGGAATAGTTTTGCCTTTTCAGTGACGAAGCAGCTGGGCAGAATTGAGGAGAAATGAATGGAGCTAAATGAATAGCAATTTCTCATAGGCTGCAAAGATGGAGAAACTAGTGTAGGTTCACTTTGTAGAAGAAAAAGTTCAAACATACAGCAAGAGCTTAAAGTTAAAGATCTAAAGTTAAAGCGGAATCTATGGCTGTACCATACAATGTTTGATACAGCCGCAGGGAGGATTTACATACAATAATAATCAATTTTTTAGTCTCTATCTTTGCAAAGATGATGGAGAAATGGACTAAGACCTGCAGCTGTAACTCAGTGGTGTTCTGTGAAGGATTGTCTCAATAGTGTGTGCATGAGCATGCAAGCAATATTTCCCACTATTTTACTTAAAAAAAATAAACTGAGTCTCATTTTCCATCTGTTTTACAAGTATACACTACCTTTAGTTAATTTAATTTATACAATTCCAATATGCTAAAGTTAAAGCTATGTTTACAGTTCAAGGTGAGAATAAACATCTCTCTGTGTTTCAGTTCCAAACATTACGAGGAACGGTCTGGCAGGAGTGTTACAGCGGTCACTGCAGCCTGCCTTCGATGACCAGGTCTGCTTTGTAGCCACTGTTCGCTTGGCCAAACCTCAGTTCATTAAGGTATCGTCTAGTTGAGTACACCGCTTAGCCATCCTTTTTGTTATTTAACTTCCCACGTCAGAATCTTAGCTTTGTTTTTTATGGTTCTAGGAAATGTGCACAGTTGAGGAGCCAAATGAAGAATTTACCTCAAGGCACAGTCTGGAATGGAAATTCCTCTTCTTAGACCACAGGTAAACACACTCTGTAGTAACTCTATATGCGGTAGCCCTCTCTTCCATTCATCAATACCGTTTCAAAACATCCTCAGGAAGGGGCTCGTTCTGTCACAATGTAGGTCAAATGAAGAATTTATAATAAACCCTCCCAATGGCACATAGAGATATTTGTAAAAAATTGTGTCTCTGTGAGAGACGTGATTTTAAAAGGTTGATTTCTTTAGGTAAGTATAATAAAGAAAAGCTTCCAGAGCAACAAATGACAAATCCTGGAAACAATTTATTAGATCTAAACAAACCCCTACAGTAGCAAAACAAGCAGTCAGTTTTGTGTCTTGTGTGTCTAAATATGGACACGTTTGTCTAACTTTGATTTTGTAAACCTGCATTAAGACAGAAGGAGCGCCGCTGAAACTCTGTCCCCAATCTTCTGGTTTGACCTAAAAATTAGTATGCAGCCCAAGTTTTGCAAGTTGGCTAAGAGCTTGACCTGGTTTTTCTTTTAAACGGTGCTGCAGATGGCATAGTGGAGGTTCAGGTTGCTGACCTCTGCTAGTTTTTTTTTTTTTTGGTTGAGTAACAACCTGTTGGTCTTTGACAGCACTTCCTGTTACGCCTCAACTAGCAAAACCTGCATTTCTACTTGATTTTTTGTTGTTTCTTCCCTTCATTATAGAATTTTCCCTACTTAGTTCACTAGTGTCACAGGTTCTGTGACCTTTTACCACTTATCAGAGCCGTTACTGCTCTCAGCTGCCAACGGAGGCTGCTGAATAGGTGTGAAGGGGAGGTGGCATGACTTTATAATCTGGCTTTGAGATGACAGCCTTGTTGTATGATATGGATGTTGAAGTGAGCACGCTGGTTGATCTTGAAATCATTCTTACGCAGGAAATATTTCTAGGAAAGGTTAACTATCTACTAACTGCTAGGATTTCTGCCATTAATAATTAGCTTTGCTCGAAATCTTAGTCCAGTCGCTCTCTCACATGGGTCCATGTAAATTATATTGAATATTTAACATCAATTTCTAACTGATTTGTATTGATACTAAAAAGAATAAGAAACATTCATGTGATGGGAAATGATCAAAACAAACATTCAGAGTGAGAGAATGAAGACTTGTTACTAACGCTGTCCAGCAGTAAGCTTCACAATATTAATTTAGCTAAAACCTGGTGTGACACTAGTGAGTTTATTAGTGAATGATGCATCTATTGCTAGTATTGTTGGGCTGCTGATTGTTCAGAGAAGTAGAAAAGGTTCAATATTAGCCTTAGGAAGTAGTTCTAATTATTTACCAAATAGCAATGACCAAACAGCAGCAACTGCTGCTTTCAATGGGAAGTTTTACAAAATACAATTTTCTTCGAATGAAAATCCTGTATTTTTAGTCTTAGTTTGAGTCTGCCCAGACCCCTTTATGTCCTGCAATGGCCCCAAAGCAGAAGGACATTCAAAATTACCCCTTTTTTAGATGCAAGTCAGATTTTCATCATGCCTTTCTAAAACAATATCACATCTTCCAATACTCTTCTTCCTTCTACCCTTTATTATAATGCTCTAAAATTAAGTTTTACCTTCTTTTTGTGTAAAATCAGTTTGTTGTAGTCATTCCCAGCATACATAGAATGGATTCTAAGTCATTTTAGAAGAATAATCATGGTAAGCATAATGGCATTTGGATTAGTCTACCCAGGGACTTCATGGTTTTTTTTTCCAAAGAACCTAAATAAAAATAAAACATTTTTTTTCATTAAATATTGCACAAGACAAAGAAATAAACATTATTATATACAGCCAGACCATGGTGCATCCAAACTATAGATTATATTAAATAAATTATATTTTTTCCATTTTTAAATCACTGCTTAGTGTTTAATAGGCCTCTTGATCTTAAGACATAATAAACCACCTCATTGGTTTGGTTTCAGCGAGAAAAATGACCAAAAATCATAGTCACGATTTCTGTTATACATTCTCCTCTTTATAACTACAACACACACACACACATATACCCTGGTTGACAGATGAAAACAGACTTGACCCATTTTCACACACACGCTGCAGTCATGCAAATGGTTTACAGAGATTTAAACGCAAACATCCAGTGCCGAGGAAATGCAGCACAAGGAGTCCGGAGAATTTGTTCTCACCACTCAAAATGTCAATTCTTAAATATCTAAAAGGGGAAACTGTGAAGAGGCAAAGCAGGAGGAATAAAAATCACTAACTGGGATCTAATGTGTTTTTTCTCTTTTCAGAGCTCCACCAATAATTGGCTACCTGCCTTTTGAGGTCCTGGGAACATCAGGGTATGACTACTACCATGTTGATGACCTGGAGACACTCGCCAAATGTCATGAACACTGTGAGGCCTCTAACTTTCTCTTTCATTCAAGGCTCTATGCAGGGTCATATCGCTGCCCTGTTTTTCTGTGTGACAGCTATTGATTTTGCCAGTCTCTCTTCCTGCCCTTCTCAGTGATGCAGTACGGAAAAGGAAAGTCGTGCTACTATCGTTTCCTGACCAAAGGTCAACAGTGGATCTGGCTGCAGACCCACTACTACATCACCTATCATCAGTGGAACTCCAGACCTGAGTTCATTGTTTGCACACACACGGTGGTCAGGTACAAGCCCCCGTTTATACTTTCAATTTTAAATCAGACTTTCATAAAGGACATATTTATTATTTATTGTTGATTTGTTATGCTTAACATGCTTTTTTTTGTGTTGCATATGCAGCTATGCTGAGGTAAGAGCGGAACAGCGCAGAGAGCTTGGAATTGAAGAGTCCAATCCAGAGGCAGCTGCTGATAAAGTGAGTCATTCCTTTGGGCTTCTCACAATTTGATAACCTGGAATAATAATGCCACAGCTGAGCTGCTACACCATTGGTGCTGCAACCAATACCTGTTAGGATTAATCTGTATGTGATCACCTCTATTTCTTTACTGCAGTTTCCCCACTACTCTATGTACTTTAGCAAATCAGTCACTAAAAAAAAAAACTTCAAGAGTGGGCAAAATGTCTGCAGAATTTGCATATCTGGTACTTTAAATTTAATTATCCAACCAAACATAACAATCATTTTTTAAGGGTGAAATTGTTTTTGTCTTTTCTTTCTTTTTTGGACCTACGGGTTAAGATGCAGCCCACGAAAAACAAAAAAGACCTTGATGCTGTTTTTAATGGTACACACAAACTCCTTCCAGCTGCATCTTTTTCCCCAGTGCCATCGTGCAGCAGTGAATTGTTTACTTAAACTTTAGACAGAAAGAATGAACTGAGCCAAACCAGAGAGGCAGTTTTTTTTAAGTGTGTTTTTTAAAAACACAAAATAAAAAAGTTTCTCCTCCAGTGAAGCTTTTCGCTTTCCATAAAAATAAAAAAAACTACCCGCCCCGGTTTTCATTCCCTTCAATTTTGCGTAATCATATAAACAATGATGTCTCATAACATAGTCAGAACAACTGGAAAATAAGAATATGATCCCACTGGATGAAACTTGTATATGTTTAGCATAGTAGCATGGGTTTGATCAGGTGGTGAACAATATTACCAGTGATTTAGAAGACATGCTCTGCTTGTCAAAGCTAGAGATCGGCCATATTGGACCAAAAAAACAAAAAATAAATCTGTCTGGAGCAGAAAAATGTAAAAGGCTTATATATGCCTCATCTGGCAACACGGGATCGAAGTATATTATCCCACTATTGAAAAGGACTAAATGGGCTTAAATATATATAAAGCATTCACGATTTCATGTTTATCCTGGAGCAAATTTCACATAGTAGCATGAGGTGTGGGAGGAGCAGTGAACGCTCTCACCGCCGCTGCTTCACCGCCCTTCACCGTGCGGTTTAAGTTTTTTGCATTGCTGAAATTATAGAAACACAATAAATGAATCTTTCTATGGTGGACATGTTTCTGTTGGGAGGAGCTGATTGAGTTATGAGTCATGAGCGCTACCTGTTTGATCTGTGGACATTTCTTTCATGCTTGAAACAAAACTAGCAGCAGTAGTTCAGTTAGGAGATGCAATCCATTTTTTTAAAACTACCTTTGCTCTCCTCCAATTTATCCAGAGGTTCTGAAATCGCATTCTCTCTCTCACTCACAACTTTGTGATCGACTGCATATTTAGGCTTCCCTGGAAATGCCTTTCCAAATTATTCTTTTTATTATTTGACAAATTCTCGTGCCAAAGCAAAAATGCAGGCAATCCTTCTGCATTGATAATGAAAGCAAATGATTCGGTCCATTCTTCTTTGAATCCTCTGTTCTCATCAGTATCTTCTTTTTTTCCCCCTTTGGGATCCATGGCCCAAGACACACCTGCTGCTTTCTTTCTCACCTGCTGCGGCACTGCGCCGAGCTGAGACATGAGTTGCAGGCTTTGACCACTGATCTCTATGGCTATGATGCACATTTTCGTTGAAATAAATGTTTACATATACTGTTTAAATGTATTTATTATACAAATGTTTACAGCATTGGAAAACATAATGAATGTATTTTTGACCTCCTGCACACCATATTAAAATAAACAAACCATAAATATGAATTTTTCCTAAATTTTTTTAAAGAAAAGCAGGGAGCCGCAAGGGAGCGCTAAAGTGTCACAGGTTGCCGACCCCTGGTTTAAGTTTACCAAGTCACCTGCATGACTTTATCGTCCACCACCCACCCTAAATATATATAGGATGCTGCTAGTCCATTGATTAACAGAAAAATGCAGACTAAAAATGTATAACACTGTATAACCACTTAATGAACACAATGAAACAAAAATCTGTTTAAAGTGTTTGCTTTGTTTTTAGAAATAAATGAAAACGTAGAAACCATCTGCCAAGTTTAATGTATGTTTTCAGTACTTATTAGACAGAATATGGCTCTTTGTAGTTTCTATTCATTATGAATTAACAGCAGTTTAAGAAGTTATCATCTAGCTGGTAGCCAGTCTATTTGGATGTTTGAAAGTTGAAGTTTCCACTGGAATTATTTCCAATCTGTTGTGTCAGCAAGTAAAAAGTCTTTGTAGCTGCCTCCTCTTAACCAGCTGACTGGTGATGTGCAGGAACAAGTGGAGAAGGTGCAGTTGGAGAAACCTCTCATGAAATCTAACGTTAGTATTAGAGTTTGCTTTAAAGCAGCTCAGAGCTAATCGTTTTTGGTGCTGCAGCTTGATGTTGAACTGGTTGAACTCTATCGTTTTTTTTTTTGTTTCGACCTGCAAACGGCTGGCAGTCATCCATGAAAACTGGTGACACCAGTACCTGTGGTTCTCCCATAGCCTTGGGGACATGTCATTAACTTATTCATATTTTACACAGAATCATTACACATGGTGGGAAGTGTTTAAAGCCTGTTTAAAACCTTCTTATATCTTGTGTATTTGATAATTGTGCATTAAAGATCCAAAAAAATTATTCTATTCTGTTTCTTAGAAAATTTAAATATGAGACAAGGCCAAGATAATTTATATTTTAAAAAGAAATTTACCCTACAGATTTTCTTTTCTTTTCGATGCACTCAGTAGTTGACTGGGGTGCATTTTGCATGAGTCATTGCATCATTATGTGGTGGCCTGTGGTTCTGCTAAGATGTAGAAGAAACCAAGATTAAGGTCATCAGCATTGTTGCATTCGATGTCACTCATCTCCCCCCTGACAATATTAAAGTCAATGGCGTAACGACACAACAATAGGCCCGTGAGCAGCATTATCGGGGTGTGCCCCATATGAAGTACAACATGTGATAAATGTTCAGGATACGGCGACAGTTTACTAAATTGGCCAATAGGACACAATTATGCAATTTCCAGTAGTATATGTTCACACATCACATATGGAAAAATAGTGAATGCGCACCTTGAATGGGACCATTGGTGACAGTGCACCACTACATGTTACAGATCCCAGGTTGCTAAACACATTTCAGGGAGATGCTTGTCGAAATCCCCCACCCCGCCATCGTAGACACGACCGTTCGCCCCGAAACGTTCCCCATACATACACGCTTCATCCTTCTTCACCTTTACTAGACATGGAAATACTTTGAATATATTAGCCCAACAAGTTATCTGGCTACCTTGAGCTTCACAGCCCCCCTCCTCACCCATGCGCTCTCCATTCATCTCCTGGTCGCAATCTTTACTCACTGTAACAGCACCGTCCACCTCTTCCACTGTAACAGCACCGTCCACCTCTCCCTCTTCCACTGTAGCAGCACCGTCCACCTCTCCCTCTTCAGTTCTTTGTTTATTTTGGGAAGTTTTTTCCGTTCTTCCAGCAGCTTTTCTTTGCTTTTTCTTTTCAGAAATCCGCTTAAGTACCGCTTTTTGGTATCCATCGTCGCTAACACATTGTACGTAACGGTTATGGTTTTAATCTACGCTCTGAGTTACCAATAATTCCAAGTTGTAATGTAAAAAATAAAATAATCATATACGTTTTTCTTTTAAGATCTTTATTGCGGTTTGAAACATATTATATGAGCATAAATATGTATTTTTTTTACCAACCGTCTAATGAACTATACACAGTTATTTACATAGTAGTTAAAAGTACCACTGTCTGCTTTGCTATTGGTGTTGTGTTTAAACGGCTCACCATCATGTTGAAATCTGCCACATGTTGGGGTATAAATACAGGCCGGTGCGGTCAGTCACTTCAGTATCGGGTGGGTTGAAGAGGAAATTCTCTGCAAAGAGACGTCCTAGTCTTCAATTGCGTAGGGGTCCGCCAGGTGTCATTGATGGGGCCCACAACCTCTTAAGGGCTAAGCAACTGCTGTCTCTACTTACCAATATTTACGCCATTGATTAAAGTTATTCATTTGGACCCTGGGATGTGCTCCGTTGGGACAATTTAATTTGTTTTATGAGTAACCTTAAAGGTTAAAAGTCAAACTGATACAAAATCTAAATAGTCTCCAGAAAAGTACTTGCTGTTGTGCTCGTTTAGGCTGACAATGTAAATACCCCCTGGTGGCCACCACAAAGCTGCTGCTTTGTTTTTCAGAATATAAAGTAATAACATATGACCAACCATCTCCTCTGTAGTCCTGAATATACAAAGAAACACACCGTTGAACACAGAGGCTGTAAAATGTGAGCGTTTTACTCGCATTTGCACTTAAACATAGGTTTGTGCGAGTAGGAAAAAAAAGTAGGAGCATTTGTAAAGTACAGATTTCAGCCATTTTCTCCTAAAATAAGTCAGGGCTGATTTACATTCTGCATCCCACTTATATACAAGAGCTGATGTGTTGGACTGTATCTGCCTTTGGTGTCAATACCTGCTGTACATTTTACTGGCCAAGTTACCAAAGCTCATGGAGAGTAGTGGCTAGTGTTGAGACAGCATTTGAATTTGAATTATTCTGGTTCTGATTCTGATTCGTCATTTTACTCCAGTTCCTTCTGATTCTCAATTCTGATTCTTTTAAGAGGAAGGATCGAAAACGTTTACATGTTATTAATTAGCTGGTTAATTGGAGTTCTGTCTGGATGAAATGGTCTGAACTTCTCCATGAGATTTAAATCCTTGAACGGTTTAACTTTCTGTGAATGACACCATAAATTCTTACTTTTTTTTTAGTATTTATTTATTTAGTATTTTTAGTATTAAAACATCAAAGCTATGAAGCCTGATATAATCTCATGCTTTCTCTTTTCACAGAGTTACATTTTACTAAATTATGTCATCACAAAATTTGCATATTACAGGTAAATCAACATTAGCAAGGCACCTGCCTCTGGCTGTTGCACTCATTTAAAGTTATAAAAAGGGATATTTCCATTGTTAACTTTAAGCTTAATTAGAAGCAGTGTCGAAAGCTGTTTTAGAGGAAGCCCAGATGTCATTCTAAGGGCCGTTATGGTTAGAAAATATCAGTGCGGCCTGATTTTCAGAGTAATTGTGACTTTTTTAACGCTTTAATATGCTGGTGAGAACCCTGCAAGTACCCATGTTTTACTTCTGTGGGCAGAGGAACAGTCAGATTTCTTCCTCCATCAGTCAGTTAGTGGGTTTTATCATATGAAAGGGATTCCAAGTAAACAAAAATACACAATGAAGTTATGCTTAAAACTGCTTAAGTCCATCAGATCTGCTCTCCTTGCAGAAGGTTCGCTATGAATCTTTAAACCTCACCTAACGCAGCAGGCCAAACAGATGGTTGCCCAATCATTCCTGTTGATTCTTTTTTGCTGATGATAGGCAGCTTTTATTAGCAGTTGAACTGGTCATAGAAACTTGGAATTCATATATAATATAAAAAATTAGGATTCTGGGAGGATTGAAGGTTAAAAACAGTTCTTATCAATTATCGATTATCGTTGTCAGTTGAGCGTGCAGTGAGACCGATGTGCAGCAATTAAACTCGCACCCCATCCATGAAAGTCTGTCTGCCGTGGGCTAAACACTGGAAAAACTGCTCCACAACCTGTGCTCTATTGCTTCAGTGCTTTCAGTGCATCCCTACATCTAACTGTTCGGTAGCTGTGGTTAAGATGCTTTAGATCAGGGTTTTGAAACCTGTGGCTCCTGAGCTGCACACACTGGCTAAAAGTGATGAAGAACCAACTAAAGGTTTTAGATATGGGATAATAACCTCCACCCATGTTGGAAAGTTCTATTAGGTTTTAAAAAACATTTCTGAGCAGAATTAGAGGCGTTTCCTGGACCCAGGAACACTGGGGGCTGAGCCCACACCCTGTAGGGTGAATCTCGGGGAGTTTTATCTGGGTAAAATGGCTTTTTTTAAATAATAGATCAACAGATTGTTAAAAACACTTTGGAAATGAATCGTTTTCACTTTTGGATGAAACAAAGAGCAGGGATGATTTTGAATTCTTGCTGGGACTAAAAAGTAACTGGTTTATATTGTTTTCTTCAACCTTGCAGGCATCTTTGAAAATATATACCAGTATAATCTAAATATTACAGCTAAGTTAGACTTTATTTTTGATTTCTTGCCTCTAGCTTCTCCATTTTGATTATTCGAGTGTAAGAATAAATAATAAAGTAAATATTTAATGCTGACTAATCTAGATTTTTTCCCCCCTTTTACTGAGGATAATGCAACACCTACAGAGGTCGTTCTTTAAAGAAAGATCTAAAAAAAGATTAGAACTTGGTAACAAAAACTAAAATGATTACATTAGTTTCGACCCAGTACACCCACTTAATCATTTCGTTATTATTTTAAAAATTGCCTTATCATGTCATGAAAATCCTGAACTTATTTTTAAAAGAAAAAAAGAATCATTTTTATGAAAAACCAAGAGAACAACTTTTTAATTCGATGGGTAGAAAAAGAGGATTAAAGAGAGAAATATTCCAAGGTCTATGTGCCTTTTTCATGTGGGTCTTTATAGACAAATAAATAGTATAATAATGAAATAATGAAGTTGAATATAATATGAGGATTTCCTTTGGAGAAATGAAATAAAGTTTTAAATCAACTCTCATGAAATGGAAGAAATACAATCCTCAAAATTAGACTAAATATGCTGTGGTTGCTGTTTTTCGGCCACATGTCGTTTAAGTAGTGAGAGCAGTGAGCTGCTGAGTGAAGCTCGAGTGCAGACACAGAGCTAAGCAGATAGCAGAGTTTGACGTGCACCACACACCTATTGGAAAGCACGTGTGAAGGTTAACACTTTGATCAGATTGGCAACTTTGGGCTAAATTTGGTATCACAAAACAGCAGGCAGCCGGTCTTCTTGGTACTGCGTGTCACCCAATCTTTACATGACCATAATACCAAACTTCTTATCATTTTTTTATTGTTCGTTAATTACTTTTTTCTTGAGTGAAACCCTGAAAGACCAGAGCATTGATCAGATTTATTCTGGGCTAGAGCTGAAAAAGGCCTTGGCCAGGGGCTGAATTTTTCCAATAGGACAACATTGAAACAACCAATAATGCTTTTAAAGCATTTTTTTTTTTTTACTCATTGTCCTGGAAATGTTTTTCTTTATAACACAAAAGAAACGGCATCAGATTTCCTGTAGCAGATATTTAACAAAAACAATAAGTTGTGTTTTGTCTAAAGCGTGTGTAAGGATTGCAGCGCTGTACCACGTTGGTTTGGATGGAGTTGTAGCAAAATGGCTCTTTGGATTTCAGAGGATGGAGAATCTTGCTGTAGAATGTACCTTTGTCTAACATGAAAAAAAATTTGAGGATTTTGGAAAATAGCATTTTGAAAGAATCTATCCAGTAAAAACGAACAGATGTTTTTCAACATGCATTCAAACAAATCAGATTCATGTTTTGCTTGTTTGTCACTAATTTGATCTTCTATTTTGTGTTTTATGTTCACATCCACCAAAAGCTATTTGTATTTGCTCATTTTTGGGGTTGTTTCTGTAAATCTGCAGAGTCAGGACTCTGGCTCGGAGTCACAGCTGAACACGTCCAGCTTGAAGGAAGCCCTGGAACGGTTTGACCACAGCCGAACGCCGTCAACGTCCTCGCGAAGCTCCCGGAAGTCCTCGTCTCATGTCTCGGACATCACTTGCACTTGTAAGATTTATCTGGTCACAGTTACAAAACTTTTTTTATGTTTTAACAAGTTAGATAATCAATGGACAACATGAAAAATAGCCAATTACTTTAAAATAATTGGTTCATTTACAGTGAAATTTATTAATATTAATTGTCTCTGTCAAATAAGTCAAACTGAATTCAGAAAATAATCTGTAACAATTTTACTTTAAGTATAAAAAGAATGGCAAGTGATTATTTGGAGGGTCACCAGTAATTCTGTCTCCACAGCAACAGCTCCAAAGCTACACATGGACATGGCCACGCCTCCTCGGCAGTCCCTGGCCTCCAACGTGGAGATGACATCTCAGAGACGCTCATCCATCAGCAGCCAGGTTTGAAAAGATTGGTGAAATTACTGACCTGTAATTCTGTTGGATGTTTTTTTTTTATCAACATTTTTACCACAATATTTAAACACTTGTCTAAAACTTCAAAAACAGTCTCTGCTAGTGTTTTAAAGTGAGGGGAGGACATGGATCATATTACTAATGAGAGTAAAAGTTTCTTCCAATTTAAAAAGAAAAGACTGAATTCTATGTTTTGAAACTGAGATGTGATCAGGTTTTTCTGCTCTAAACGTATGAACAATTTATAGATAAATCTACTTGTGAAATTAAAGCTGTTGTTCTATCAGCTAGTTTTCTTATAGGAACAATTGAGAGGTGTAAAACCCATCTTTTGTTGTTTTTGTGTTCATCTCCAGCAGATTGTGTTTTTCTATATTTTCTTTACCTTGGTAGATATTTATTGTGTTCTTACAGATGTTGTTTTTCAGTCAGTTCACTTTGAATAACTGTGAAGCACTTTGTTCAACATTTTATATATGAATGTGCGCATTTGACGCCATTAGGACCTACTTGTTGAATTGTCATAGGTACGTCTTGGACAAAGCAAACTAGTTTCAGCTCAGTTTGTATATTTTGTGCTAATTCACAACCAATCGTCTCTCCATGCTATAAAAATGAACTTTCTAGCAGATTTAAAGCAAATTGTATGCCGTCCTATCTGCAGAGGCGTAGCCAGAAAGTTTTTATAAGTGTGGCCAGGCAATAACCAATGTACGATGAGGGGTGGCCGAAAGTGGATAAGCGCCAGGACCTCAGGGTTAAGCTACACTGTTCAAAGAGGAAAATAATGAGCACAACATCCATATTTTTTACATGAAGACAAACTATCCTTTCCTACTGTACAGCCTTTGGTACCAAATAGACGCATATATAGTGGATACAATTCTCTCAGTTTTAAGTTCTGGGGCATGCATCTTTCCCATTGTCATTACTTAATTTTATCAATAATCATTCTGCAAAAAAATTATTTTTACAAGTTAAAATATCTAAATAAATTGATAATTTCATACGTTTTTATTAAAATAGTTATATATCTATTATTTCACTGAAGACTCCTAGATGACTTGCAGAGACACAATTTTCTCTTTACCCCATATACACAAAATCTAGTTCTAAAAAGAGCATGAATTATGTACTGATCTTTAATTTCAGTTTAATTATGTGCTTAATTAACCACAGTGTCTTTGTTTTCATGTAAATGTTAATATATGAAAAATTAAAATGGTTTGAATATTCCACTTGAGAGTTCTACTGTTGCCACTGTCTGTATTAGAGTGAAAAGGTGGTGGAGGTGGCCACAGGGGTGGCCAATGATTGACTTAAGGTGGCCATGGCCCCCCTCTAGCTCCGCCCCTGCCTATCTGATCCTTGTTATGAAGCTAAAGTTGTATTTATGTGTCAGATTAAAGACCTAGTATTCTACCAAATGAAGCCCAGGTGATATCTTTGAATAACCAGATCAATTAAAACACATTTCTTACCAGTGTTTTTTGTATTTGCAGTCTATGAGTTCTCAGACCACAGGGCAGAGTTTAAATCCTGGTCTGATCACACAGCATCAACAGCAGCAGCAGCAGCAGCAGCAGCAACAGCAACAGCAGCAGCAGCAGCAACATCAGACAAATTTACAGGTAAGAATTGCTGTGCTATAACCGTGATATGATTCCCACCTTCCTCAGTAGAGAGATCTGCAGTAACCTAGAAACACCAGCGGGGCGCTAAATACCCATGCAATGTTTCACTGGCAGACTTGCACTGGTATAATAAAATGAACTGACGCTACATGATCTTGTTACACATTTATGAAATATAAAAAGATTATAAAATTTTCTTGGGATGCAGAGATGAAGGAAAAGCAGATAAAGATTATAAGAAAGAGGAAACTTTCAGAAAGAGAATTAACAAACTAATATACTAAAGGACTTGTCTTGTTCCGTCAATACAAAAGTGTATTATTATTGTATTTTCTGTTGCCTTCTCAAGCCGGTGATGGAGTTCTCAGCACAGGTGAATGCCATGCAGCACCTGAAGGATCAGCTGGAGCAGAGAACACGAATGATCCAGGCCAACATCCAGCGGCAGCAGGAGGAGCTGAGGCACATCCAGGACCAGCTGCAGAGAGTCCAGGGACAGGGCATACAGGTGGGCTCTGAACTATTCCTCATTCTACAGCATCAACAGCAAGTCTATTAACGTATAGTTATTCATAATGTCTGTATATGTCTGCTGTAACACCAGAAATTCCAAACTGTGGGACAATTTTGGGATCTTCTATGTATTTAGGACTTGACAGACTAATGTTAGACAGTAGCTGTGTGGTATCATTCACATTAGTTTCCAAATTGCAAAAAAAAGCCTTTGAAAACGAGGGAAATTTAATCTCTGCCTCTGTTCTTTTATAGAGCAGGAGATTGCTTTGTTTTTACCTAACTTGGATGAAAGACATATTTTTGACTGATGGGGTTCATAACATTTCCCCCCGTTTGTAAATCCTGTTTGATTAAACCACCAAAATAGCACAGTCATGAAAAATCTATTTTTTTCTTCCGCCGCTTTGTTCTAACATTCAATATCTCCATTAGATGTTGCTGCAACAGCAGCAACAGCAGGGTGGAGCGATGAACGTACAGCTCCCACAGGGGGGGTCGGTCCAGCAAGCAGCTACTTTGACTGGTCAGGTCCAGCAACCCTCAGTTAATCTCCTTCATTCTGGATCTCAGCAGCTCACCATTCAGCAGCAAGCTCCTCCTCCTCCTCCTCCTACTCAGCAGAGCTTACAGCAGCAGACCAACACACTCACACAGGTGGGTCATACAGACACACACTCCTGATACAAGCCTGTTCAGATTAAAATATATCAGTTTTCTCTCTGATTCAAAGGGAATAATTTTTCCACAGTTTGTGACATTGGAACTGTTCAGTCTTTTAGTGGATCTGGAGAAGACAGATGAAGTCTGATGAAGAGGGGGTTTAGTGTTGTCCATAATGTTCTTCATTTTATTAAGGATTATTCTTTGTTAAAGGGGTTCTAGAGAAGTTCTATTTTTATTATTATTTTAGCTGACCTGCAGCTCCTGTAGAGTTAACATTGGCTACAGCTGCTTTTGATACAGGTTGATGATATACATATACAAGATAGTTTCTAATAATGCATTTAAGGGGGAAACAGGATAATTTGCTGGAGGCAGATGTGATAAAACTTTGTAGAATGGAGAGGGTTTTTTTTGTTTTATTTTTACAATGTTCCTTAACAAACCTCAGAGGCTCTCACAGAGCAGAAGGATTTTATTTCCCAGCCTCTACATAAAAAGCAGCATTACTTTGGCCTTTTTAGAAACTACAAACAAAATACATGGATTTTAGTCCAAAAAAATATGTGGTGACAAATTGTGGAAAAGTTGTTGTTACGTTTTCCAAGGGGCTGTTGACAATATAAATTGAATCATGTTGTTTGGGGAAAATACTTTGTCTCACATATTTATCTTAAAACTCTTTTATTTATGTTTTACTCATTGCAAAGCATTGATGTTTTGCACCTGTTTTTTTTATTATATTTTCTATTATTCAGTATATAATTTATATAGAAGATGCATCTAAAGAGTGTTGCAATGTTGGACCAATAATATTTTAAGACAAATCTTCTGTAAGTTAAAGAAACCTGTCCAACTTTGTTGCTCTCTTGAACATCCAGCGTCAGCCACAGCAAGCTGCTCAGACCCAGCCTCAGGCCCAGGGATCCGTTTCTGCTCCGCTGTACAACACCATGATGATTTCTCAGCCAGGACAGCCAAATGTGCTGCAGATCAGCACCAGCCTCCCGCAGAACAACACGCAGCAGGGCACTGCTGTAGCTACCTTCACACAGGACCGGCAGATCCGGTAAGCAGAGAAGAAAATTTAGGGACTCATGTTTTTAATAATGGTTACAAATTGATCCAAATGTCCAAATAATTTTCTTTCTTCCCCAGATTCCCAGCAGGGCAGCAGCTAGTAACCAAGCTTGTGACTACTCCCATGCATGCATGTGGTGCTGTGATGGTGCCCACCTCTATGTTTATGGGGCAGGTTGTTACAGCCTACAACCCCTTTGGCGGCCAGCAGGTAAATAAACATCCATATGAGGTAGATGATCCCGTTTCTGCCATGTAATTTATGAACAGACAAATCTGTCTGAACACCTCTAAAAAATATATGTAAAATAACTTAAAACTAAGTAATCTTTTATTGTAATCGATTTCACAACCTTGTTTTAGTATTATGTGAATTGGCGTTAGTTGTTTCAAAAATGAACTATTTGATGATGCTAACAATCTGAGTTTTATTATCGCTAAGAGTGTGGCTTTTTTACTCCTTTTCCACTGCTGTTCCACATATAAATATACAGAAATTATAATTTGTTTTACTTTTAAGCCATACAATTACACTACTAATCATAACTGTTGTATTAACGTTGTCATTTCAGTAATAATGAATGTTTATTTATAATGGCAGTATTTTTGTTTTGGGGGCTTTGACAGTGTGGTGACATCAAAACATACTTTCAGTTTGATCTATATTACAAGAAAATCTCCAGACTAATATGTTCAGTGCATATCACCAGAACCTGTCAGTTTCATTGTTGAGTAATGTGTTGATGAAGCTGTGCATCTAGTCTGAATCTCTCATTCACAGTAGCAATAAGCCCGTTAAGGTAAAGTATTTGGAAAAGCAGGAATGTTCTTTACTTTATTCTAACTGTATTTTTTTTATGTTTCACCTCAGCAGGGGGGGCAGACCCAGACCCTGACTCTACAACCTGCCCAATCAACTCAGTGTCAGCCTGACAGCCAAAACCAAGCAGCTGTAGTGGCACAAAACAGCCAGCAGGGGCAGCAGCAACAGCAGTTCCTGCAGGTAACAGAGGAGGGCAGAGTGAGCCCATTTAAAGACATCATGCTGTCTGTGTGTATTTCCTGTCATATGCTGGCTGTACATATGCCTCCTTCTGAAAAACAAAGATTTATTTTTCAGGTTTTTTTTGTCTCTTTGAAAACTGTTTTTTTTTGTATAAACAATATACAAAAATGGTAAGAATGTGTAATTGACGTGTGACCTTTGTTTTTTCTGAATTATCTGAATGGAATCTGTAGAACTGACCTTGCCCAACCTTAAAGTCAAAAGTTTTCTATCCAAATGATATGAATGATCCTGGTATCTCTGCAATCACATGGATCTTAATGTAATAATATGGTTCAGCTGGTATATTGGCAGCGGTGGTTGAAAAACCTACTGGAGAAAATGAAAGGTCAACCATGTTAAAGGTCTGAGACGGAAATCATGCGTATTCTGTGAGTGCAAAACTGGTCTAATTGGCTTATTCTATGGGTTTGAAGGGGAGTGTTGGCCTAGTGGTTAGGGCAGTGCACTTGTGCTCTGGGAACGTTGCAAGTACTCTGTTCGATCCCCACAGCCTGCACTCTGGAATCCCAAGCAAAACCTTAACCCCACACTGCTCCCTGGGAGTCACACAATGGCTGCCCACTGCTCTCCAAGGGGATGGGTTAAATGCAGAGGTTCATTTCTCCAGTGTGAGTTTAATAAAGTTCAGTTATTATTATGTTTAATAGAGCACACACTTCAGTTAGCAATAAAAACTGGATTAGACCTACCTGATATAACCAAAACGGTTGCTGCAGCAAAATGTATTGCTTATTGGAGTTTGAGCAACAAGATATGATGATGATGATGATGATGATGATGATGATGATGATGATGATGATGATGATGATGATGATGATGATGATGAGCTACTAAGTATCTTGACTTTAAAAATGTCTTTTTACTGCTAGGGCACTCGTCTCCTTCACAATAATCAGTCTACCCAGCTGATTCTGCAGGCAGCGTTTCCTCTCCAGCAGCAGGGCGCTTTCACCCAGGCAACTCTTCAACAGCAACAACAGCAGCAACATCAGCAGCAGCAACAACATCAACAACAACAGCAGCAGCAGCAACATCAACAACAACAACAGCAACAACAACAGCAACAGCAGCAGCAGCAGCAGCAACAACAACAGCAGCAGCAGCAAAGGCAACAAAAGCAACAACAATCTCACCATCAGAGGCACCAGCAGCAGCTAAAACCACAGCCGCAGAAACAGCAGAAAGCCTCGTCGTCACACAGGACTGACAGTGTCAACCAGCAGCAATGACTCCTGGATGGAAGCTGTAGAAACTGCTGTATGTGTCTGTGAAGGTCTCCTGGATGTCACAGACCTCACCTACCCTCCAAAAAAGCGACAGCCTTCCCCTCCTTGATTAAAAAGCTATTATATCTAGGAGAGTAAAAGCTCTGAGTTCATAAGGAACTCAGAAATAGCCGTCACAGAAGCTTAAGGCCGGAGGAAGTTCAAGTCAAGAGGGAGCTCCAGTCTTCAGGGAGACTTTGAAAGAAAAAAAAATAATACACCTTACGCTGACGATAATTGACTTTTTTTAGTGAAAGAGTCTCATAGTGGACTGACTGTGTACAGATTTACTGTATGATACAAAGAAAACCTGTAAATATCCAAGTATAGCCTAACAGAAAACAGAACTATAGTATTTTATATGACTGCATGAAAAGAATAACTGTGTAAGCTTTTTTTTTAGTTGCTTTTGGAAACAGAATTTTTACTTTTTCGTGGTTTCTGGTTAAACACAGAGCAACGATGTGCTCTCTAAGACCCCCTCCCCTTTCTCTTAAAAAGAAGAAATATAGTCCAGAACAAGGCTTTAAAGTCTTTTGGTGTGTTTAAAAAAAATGAAAAGAAAAATAGGATGAATCGGGCTTGGGTGTTTTTTTTTTTTGTTATTCTTTTTGTAGAAGCTGCTTTTAAACACTGTGTCTCCAGGACAAAAATGGATCCTTTTACCTTTGTATTTACAGATTATGTTTGACAAGAAGCTAGAAGAAAAAAGATTACAGTCTAACTGAATTATTTGCAGGATGATTACTGTACGTATAACGGGTTTAGTGATTCCAAGTGCCAATTACATAGTGAAGTTTTTTTTAAATACGATATTCAAAGCCGTATATATAAATGAATATATTTTCCAAAAAAAGATATTACCCCTAATAACAAAATTCTTGCATTTGTATATAGTAGGAATTATTTTTTACCAGTCAAAGAGCCCTATGCGTGACACGGTATATCCTCAACCTCCCGACAACTTCAGCACTTAATGTGGTTGTGTAAAGAAATATCACTGTTAAATCCTTTTTTTTTTTTTTTATTGTAATTTGTGGTGTGATTCCATGAGATAATGTGCGTTTTTGATAATCCTCATCTGCATGGCTCAGAGCGAGCGCATCATGTAGTGGGCGTGTTTGTTGGGCCCTCCTGTCTTACGATATTGAACTTAGTAAGGGTTTGAAGTTGTTGGATGGTACTTGTCCTCTCAGGAATGTGGAAAGTAGTTTCATTTTTGTTTTGTTTTTTTCTAAGCTTCTGCCTCAGTCTGGAACCAGACCAGGAAGGATTAGACATCGATGCGTCACAGACCAGAGGAACTAGTGTTATGAAGGGTGTGGCGTCTGAGGGGAACATTTGACCTGCTTTCCAAAGGCTTTTCCTTCAAAGATGCAGCATTCTAGGCATGGGCCGGTAGGATTGTCTTACTTTAAAGTAAAACTACTATACTGTTTATCTCAAAACATTAAACAAAATAACAGCATAATTATTAAAGTTATTCATTTTGCTGCAGCTAAAATCTTATATTTATAGTTTCTACTCTTTCAGCGATAATTCCAATCCATGTTGGAGTCCTGAAATATTCCTCAGAAATTAAACTAAATAACCTCAATCCAATTTCTGCCATAAAAATTACAGGATTTATAATCAATTCCTACCAAATAAATAATTTCTATACCATCTTTAGAAAAGTCCGGAATAGGGCTGAAACTATTAATCGGATTAATGTTGATTAATCAATTATTGAAATAGTCAACTGTTTTCTGTATCGATTAATCATTAACTGGAATGCAGAGGCTGTAACTCATGCCTTTAGCAGACAGAGTAATCCACTTAGAGCAGTAATTATATTAAAATTGTAATTTAATATGTAAACATTTAGCATTTAAGATAAAAAGAAAAAAATTTAGTCTGTCAATATGCTCTATCCAGCACTCAAGTGGAAAAGTTTAAGTTTCACCTGGTTTAGTTGCGTAAAAAATCAAATTTAAGGAACTTTTGGCTATCTGGTTATTAATCAATTAATCACAAAAATAGTCGACAGGTTAATAGATTTTAAAAATAATAGTTAATTGCAGCTGTAGTCCGAAATAGGATTTCAGTATTAACAGGTCCAGATGGTAATGAAAAAATTTTGGGGAAAAAACAATATTTTCAGGCTATTGTCAAAATGTGTTATTGCTTTCCGTTTTTTTCCACCCTCCTTGTATTTTTCTTTTTCTTTTCCTGATTGTCTCCTTTCTTTATTTCATTTTAATATCCTTTAGTTTATTCCCTCTGTCCTTCCAGGAGCCCCTTCTGTCCTTTCCTGCCGTCCATCCCTTTTAGTCTGTGGTATTTGACTTTTCCTCCTTTTCTTTCTTCTTTCCACTCTGTAGCCCGGGAGCTAAAAAAAGTCTCAGACCCCCCCTCATCTATACCATTTGTCTATAAAGAATAAAGCAGAATATTTTAGTTTAAAAAAGGATTAACCTTTGTTTCAAAGTAAACTGTTTTGCACAAAGAACAGTATACAGTTTTCTCCTATAAATGATCATTTATGGATTTATTTATATATGATAAATAAGGTACTAGGACAAGCTTACCTGTTTTAATTAGTAAGGCTGTCTGCTCCAGTATTTAGCCTGCAGTTGCCTCCCTTCTTAAAAAATGCTGCTAAAAGTTTCCAAACGGTTTCTCTACTTGTATTTGGTTTTATTAATTCAACTGTGGTGAGGAGCAACTCGCCAGAGCTCAAAACGTCTCCGGATACCTTTAAACCGCAAACGGCCCATGCCTAAAATGAAGGAGAAAAGTGGTTAAGAAATGCATTTTTATAATTACAACAGGAAAAACAAACAAACCCTGATTTAATATGTATTCCAAACACCTCCAAATCTGATTTAATATGTAATGGTCTACTCTGCCATCAGTGTTTCATCCTTCCTTCTCTTGATAGGCCTCAGAAATCTTCATGCAGTCCTCTTCACTTCTATCTCAAGTCCCTAATGGCAGTTGAAACCAGAACTGGGCCCGGGTCCATGCATAAAGACTGTAACGGATGTTTGGCTCAGCCTGTGTGTACTACAGCGATAAGCCATATCAAACAGAAAAAAAAGCCTCGGAGCACAGAGTGTGTAGTCGTTGGCAAAGGGGTGTCTAGAATGTGTTGTTTGCGTAGGAGAAGCTGGCGCGTGTTTGTTTGTGTGAATATAGCATCCTCGTTCCTTGAACCTACTTCTCGTATCAGTCGGGAGGGGTCGCAGTATTTGCTCCCCCCCCGGAGATAGCCAATCAGTTCTTGCGTTGCAGTATAAAGAAGTGATGTTTATCTTGAGAATCGTCTGTGTTGTTGGAGCCTGTTTGGAGACGGCTAAAACCTGCTGATGTGGGTCGTGTGAGAGAGACTTCGTATGTGTGATGACTTTCACTGTAGCCCAGTATATATTTTCATATAAAAAATGCACAGCTGAAGAAGCATGCTGGTAAATAGGCAATGCACAGCACTGGTATTAGTGCAGATTTATTAAGATGCAAAACAAAAAAAAAGTCCATTAGATAATAAAAAATAAACAGAAATGGATCACTAGAAGAGAGCAGGTCTTCCAACCAGTGATAAAGAGCCTCTTTATAAACTATAGTGTGTGAATGTGTGTAGAGCTGAAAATGGATCTAGTTTGTGACACTGATACCCAGCCCAAAGAATGTAAAGGTGTTTTATAGAGACTAATGGATGTTGTAAATTTTTGATTCCGGAGAATTTTAGTCTAGCTTTGTTATGAAGGAAAAAGGAGGGGAATGAAAGAGAGCTCATCAATCACAAGTTTCCACCTAAATATTAGAAAAACAATCATTACTGTTTTTAAAGTTATTGTCAAACACCTCTGAATGTTTCACAATTACACCTTTTTTTTTTCTGTTTAAGGATGACGTGTGTCTGACATCCAATCTGGGAGGTTTTAAAGAAAAAGCTATTGTGACTGAAGTCTTGGATAATTGATGGGCGATAGCGTTGATGAGAAAGCCACGCCCCCTTCCTCCCAGCCTTCCCACAGATACAGCTATCACCTTTTTTTTTTCTCCACACAACCGTTTAAGAGTGTAGTTCTAGTATAATACTGTACACAGACAAAACTAATAACACCAGTATTCAGTGTAAAATGGTGCTATGCTTCTACCTGTACTGTATGTATGTAAATCCTTACTTCTGCTCTTGAACTGTGCTCCTTTTATCTACCCCCCCAAAAGTCAAATGTAATAATAATCCATATTTTGACGCAAAATGTTTGCAATTACTATATTCCCCTCTGTCCCATTTCAGTCAACATGAGAATAAAAAAAAAAACAGTTGCAAATGTTAAACACAACCGGAACTCCAAAGAATTTCTTTTCTCTTTATGACTTACACCTCTTTTGATTTTTTTTTTACTTTACTAAACAGAATTGTTTGAAAAGGAAAACAAACATTTGCCCCCTAAAAGCTTCTTGTTTTTTGATTTTCTATAGACTTTAATCTTTCAGATCGTAAACCAAAGAAATAAATAAAAATGCAGTTTTTCATGCTTAAATATAAACTGAAAAAACTCAGTTGGCTAGAAGATTAAAAAGCAACAGATAATGTCCTGATCTAAAGAAAAAACTGTGAGAAACCACAATTAGATTAGAAAAAAAGCTATTTATAAATCACCGTTTGGACCCTGGAAAACCACAGTAAAAAACCTAAGGAGTTACTGGTTTTTCCAAATTAGTTGAAAGGGTGCATCAGAAACAAATTTTGGAGGTCAGAACACCATCCAGATTTCCATAGGCCTTGGTTGCCATCATGAAGGTCAGCATTCCTGGTTCAATGAAAGCCAGAAACGACAGAAAGGCATGTCTCACATTTGCAGGGATTAAGCAAAAAAAAATAAAAAATCCTGAGCCTGAACTTTTTCAACACAGGCAAGAAACTCTTATATATATATTTCTGTCTCCTTGAACCCCAGTCGGCCTCGGCAGATGGCTGCTCACACTGCGCCTGGTTCTGCTGGAGGTTTCTTCCTGTTAAAAGGGAGTTTTTCCTCTCCACTGTCACTACAATCATGCTTAGTGTGAGGGATTGCATCCGAGTCAATTAGTCGATGCAATCAACTGGTTTATATAAATATATATTTACATATATTTATGCGCGTGTGTGTGTATTTTCTAGTCATGCCAGGGGGGTGTTGGGGCATGATATCAGAGATTGCATGAATGATTGTAGACTAAATTTGACTTTTAAAAATCCACTACCAAAAACGGCCAGAAGATGGCGAAAGTGCACCTATATCCACCACTAGCAGGCGCCACATTTGTTTTGATATCCAGTTTCGCTGCAAAGCGTTCCTGGAAGCTCCTGGTTAACCTAACCTCCCTGCACCAGCTGCTAAAAGGCTTGCCATTTGGCCCTGTCTCCCCCAGCCATGGCCCAGCGCCATTTATTTTTGAGACCTTTATCTGTGGTCGTGACATCTTCCCCAGAGTTCATGAACTGCATTGTGCCCACTCCATGCAATTCCGTTCTCTCTATCGTCCTTCTCTCCAAACACAACGTTTGATTTATTTATTTTGTGACTTTTTACACGTCTCTCCGTTAAATGGTGCCGTAAACGGCGCCGTTTACAACTTCAGCTCTGGCGACTTGAGCAAGAAATGAGAGGAGGAGGAACAAGCTTTCCTAAGACCCGCCCCCTTCTTCTGATTGGCTAATACTGTTAGTTTCAGTGCGCTCCTTTGCTACCATTGGCTGACAAATGCAAGAGGGATTTCGATTGTCTTTAATTTTTTTTATTATTTATTTACAATCAATTTATATTAGAGTGATTTTTTTTAACCCACGAGCAATCGATAAGAGCCGGAAATCCGGCCTGGGGCTGGAATACTTTAATCCTGGGGTGGGCAACTGGAGGGCCTGTATCCTGCAACTTTAAGATATGTACTTGACTCAACACACCTGAATCAAGTAAATAGATAAAAGGAATTTAGAAAAATTTATTGCATACTTGGGAGGTATTTCAACCATATGGTTCAAGTGTGTTGGAGCAAGGATGAATCTAATGTTGCAGGAAACCGGCCCTCAAGGACTGGAGTTTCCCACCGCTGCTTTAATCCCTGCATTTGCCTTTAGGGAAAATATTTGGACCAATGAGGAAAAATGTGTGGTCATCTTAAAGCATGAGGTACACCTGACAAAAATAAAAATATGCCGAATTTTAGATTTAGATCCCTCCTACCCTTCAAACATGGCGGTGGCAGTATAATGTTCAGGTACTGCTCCAGGGTGCAGACAACTGGTTGTAACTGATGAATCTGCAAACTCTGCTCTGCTAGGAAATCCTATGGGACATTGTCCAGACATCAGTCAGGGATCTTAATGAACGTTTATCAGATTTCATTCAGGACTGTAACTACGCCACTCGAAAAAACAAATATTTTACGCAGGGATTGCTGGTTTGCTTCAGATCGTCTTGCTGCATCAAGACACTCAAATGTGGCTGAAATAATTTCATTCTGTCCAAGAGAGACATAATCATCTGTTAGATTAACAGTGATTTCACAAAGGGGTTTCCTCTTAATTAATCAAAGGATTTAAAAACAACATTTTGTACCTATATTAAAGTCTGATGATCTAAAACAATTAAAAACATTGATTCGGTTTACCATGGACCAACACACTTTATCAAATCCCAAAGACAAGGAAAATACCAAAAGACGGACTGTGGGCTTTGTTCAACCATCACAGATGCTTTCTTTATTATCACAATTCAACCAACCGTATCAAAACTTCAATGATCTCAAAAAACAGAGTGCAGAGGAAATCTGCTTATTGCCTCAACACTAACAGTCAGGATAGAATACATTACGTTAAAAACCAAAAACAAAACTAAAGGCACATCTCTATTTTATTTACATTGCATACACATTTTACAACATAAAGCACACTAAATCCTCAGCCTTTACTCCTGAAATTAATTTTGGATATACATACAATAATTGAAGATTAGGTCACAGTATTTGAAGCTTTAACACATAGGCAGGAATCCGTGATGAACTTGTCAAAGTACTTGTATCCGTTGAACTTTATCACATTTTTGTTACTTTAGTGTCGCTTCAGAGTATTTTATGTGAAAGACTAAGATGAAGAATCTGGAAAATGTTGCTGTTATAATTAGCCTTCTTTACACTTTTACTCCTAATTAAATACCAGCTACCTGCCAAATAGACCAACTTTTTGTAATTTAAGCTCAAAATAAATCTACGGTAGATGCTCTGTGAGGCTCGTAAGAGAATGTTAGCGAGAGACATTATGACGATCTAGGACTGTAGTAGGCAAGTCTAATCAAGATTTGGAGAAGGTTAAAGCAGGGTTAGGTTTAAAAAAAAAAAAGAAAAAACAGAATCCAGAGCTTTGATTTTGTCACAAAGTTCAGTTTCTATCCATTCTGAATACAGAATGGTATGACACAACTACAAACCCAGAAGAACAAAGATGGTCAAAAATGAGCGGCCAGGATAAGAGATTGCTCATTTAGAGAAGCGAACCAGAGCCCCATGATAGCTGCCAAGCAGGAGAAGTCTGGTATGATGAGACCTGACCGGAAAATTTCAGGCCTGTATGCAAAACTCTAGAAAACTATCCCTGCACATCATCCATCATCCATCACAAAGGTATGGTAGCATCATGCTGTGGAAAAGTTTTTTATTTCTTTATGTTAGTGGTTTGTTTAAGTTGACAGGCAGATGGCTTGGGGTAAAAACAGAGCAATCCTGGAGAAAAACAAAACTACGAGGCTCCAAAAGATCAAAATAGCTAGAGGACCAAGGTTTAATAAAATTTTTAATCTGAATGGATTTAAGTGTGTGAATAAAAAAACAAACTGAGAATGGAAAAAGATTTCAGTCTCTTGTCGAAACCAGAAAGGAGAAAGAGGAGGAAATGCACCATTTAAACCATGCTCTTTTAATTATATCTATAAAATTGCAATAAAGTTGATAAAAGTTTGTGTTTCTAACATGACCACAGCTGAAAGAAAGTTAAAGGACAAAGAATACTTTTGAAAGGCACTGCAACGTGTGGCTTACATGACTGTCATTGGGGATCACCGCCTAAACGCCAATGTTCTCCTCTAGGGCTCACTGGCTTCTCTCCAAGGACAACATCTGCCTTGTACAGAACAGGATCTGTATGCAAAGGCCTGGTGAAAAATAATCTCTCACAAATCCTGTGACAATAACTGGACTAAGGTTGGATATCTTGGCAAATATTTTTGTCTAGACAGCAACAAGAATTCTGAAACCACCTTAGTGATTTTCACTGATCCCACCACTAGAATATCTGCCTAAATCTACTGATTCTGTACAAATTGTAACAAATCTCTGACAAAAAAACATCACTTGTAGTCAGCAGTGCCCTATCTGTTCTTTAGTCTAACGTAATCACTCCTCAGTCACACATGTACTTTCAGTCAAAGTATCTTAAGATGTAATGTAAGGCTGAATGTGAGCCAAATGACCTCCCAGTGTTGCTGGGTGATGAAGTATCCAATGTTCTTTTAGTGCTGCAGTCTGCTTTTTATAGACATGCACCTGAAATAACTACAACGACAATCAATACACTGATAGGATGAGTAATTAGAGGCTTAGAGCCCACTGAAGGCTTATATATACACAGTAGGAGTGTATGTTTATGATGCAAGATGGCCGGTTTTTAAGAATTAGTCTGCAGGTGTTCTGGATGTGGTGAAGTTTCTCTGGTGTTAGAAGTAGCAGTGAGTTTATATGTAGGTGTGTGTGTCAGATGTAGTCGAGGAAGACGTCGGCTGTGCTCTGCAGTAACGGCTGGGTGGGAGCCGTGGTGCTGCATGCAGAGCTAAGCCTCCGCGACGGCGCCCTCTGCTGTTCACCACCATTTGGAGCGTTGCTTAGCGTCAGGTACACCTGTGGGGTTTCACAGATTTGTAGGATTTTATTTTATTTTTTTTTCAGGTTTAAAACTAATAATTATGTCAAGTCACAGCAGGGAAATCCAATCTTTGCTGCTTACGTTCTTGGTGTTCTCTGACAGCAGCAGTTCGGTTCTCTCCACCAGTTTTCTAAAGGAAGGTCTTTTCAGAGGGTCTTGGTTCCAGCAGGACAGCATCATGTCATACCTTCAAATGAGAGGCTGGGATTAGTTCATCACTTCTGGAACTGTAATGTTAGTACACATTCAAATTGATATAGGTAAGCAACAAAGGTATAATGTACCCTGCAAAAGTATTCACTTCCCTTAAGTATTTTCTTTCATTTTTTTTGTTTGTTTGAGATATGAGACATTCCTTGAGTTTAAATCGATTGGACAGATTTGGATCCTATAAAAATTGAGTTATTGAAAACATCTCTACAAGATTGAACTATAAGAATAAAGGAATAAACTGTGAAAACATTGATTTAGTAGAAGTGAAAATTGTCATGAAACATAAAAGACCAACAAAAAACAGGAAAAGAAAATACTGATTTGCAGCAGTGAGGCGTTTTGTGTCCTGCTGTTGCCCAAATTACATTACAGCCATTAGCTTTATGTAACGTCTGCGCATCTGTCTGTTACGCTGCAGTCTCCTCATCCTTGTCTGTTTTCCTCTAAAAAGACTCATGTCATGCACAATCTCTGTGCTCTGCTTGCTTTTGCAAAAGCTGTTCTTATGCTACGCTTTTCTAAGATGTGTAGCACTTCGATCACTTGTCTAAAAACCTTTTTTTGCAGGTTTCACCATCATTTTTGTTTCAATCAACCTGGATGTGACTCTAGTACGTGAGTTGAGCCCAAAAGCATTCATACCTGTATGAGATCTAGATCAGAAACTTCTATTACACCAATATGTTGGTCTCTTGTTAGGAACAAAAAAGTTGTACTGACATTTTACTGTTAAGGGAACTTCTCTAACCAATGGAAAGATCTTATCTGTCATTACAGCAATTAAACTGTCCTTATAATGGCTAAGCAGCTTTCTGTCTGTTTTCATGGTTAGGGTCTAGAGCTCTAAGTCTTTAAGGTGAAAGGCCTCCTTGCCGTCATTGTAATCTTAAGCTCCCTTCATGGATTCTCTAACTAGTATAAAGGATACATTTAACCCTAAATCCATGAATGATTTTAGGTGTGACCTTAATTTATCTTTTCTTAAATACTTGCCTTCCACAAGCTCCCTGGTGTAATATAACAATGAGCCATCATTGCACAAACAAAAACTCTAAATCCCTGCAATACAAACTTGCAAAGGGATATTTAACAAAAAGTATATATATATATATATATTAGTCTCCATGTATAATTACCCTTTAAAAAAAAAAAAAAAATCACAAACCCAACCCACATCTGATTTCTGTATTTCCTTGGAATGAAGACAATAACCATTAATTTGCCTCTCGATGTGAATTACACCCACAGCTGTTCGTAAAGACCAACAAAAGAACTCCAACGTACATCTCGATGGGAGCAAACTCCGGCCTGCTCATCCTACGGCCGTCTTGAATCATCTTATAAAAGGCAGATCCCACCTGCATCCCTGGGTATGGGCTATTTCCTGCAACACACAGATCCATTCCCTCTATTATATTACAGTTTAAAAACATATAGATTCACTGAAGTCAGCTCGGTCAGCTTAGTCATAATAATTGATTGCATTAGTGATTCCGCTAAGTGATGTTGCTGCTCAGAGAACGTCATCATAGCCTCTAATGAGGCTCCAGTCAGCTCGGACTGATGACCTTAATGGCTCCAGCATTATGAAAACATTAAAGAACTTTGAGTAGAAATGTTACCCAGAGAGAAGATTTCCCAGAGCAGGATCCCGTACGACCACACGTCGCTCTCGAAGGTGTAGACGCAGTCGAAAATGCTCTCAGGGGACATCCACTTAACAGGCAGGCGAGCCTTGAGAGAGGGTACATTACCTTATGGGATGTACTTTAAATGATCTACAGCTTTTTAATTATGTATGCAATTCTTTTACATGACAAAGCAAACACATAACATCTGATGATGTGCAGTGATCGATGATTCAGGACAAACAGAACCCAAACGTGACACTACCTTTTTATTTCTATCTCAAATGTATCATTGAAGGCAGCATTGTTGGATCCAAATGTGGGGATTGGAAACAATATACCAAGAAAAAAAGAGCAATGGATGAAGAGGAAGTGAAAGACGACTCACGTTTCCCCGGAGCACATAACTAGCGTCAGTGGTGATGTCACGGGCCAGGCCGAAGTCACAGATCTTCGCCACCCTGCCATGAGTCAGCAGAACGTTTCTGGCTGCTAGATCCCTGTGAATACACTGCATGGGAAAATAAACATCAACTGATTATTGACCTTATAACCTGTTTTCTGCATCAGGCGACACAATAAATGTTGCTTAGTTCCAGACTTTGCAGCTGTTACTAAGATCTAAATTGCAAGCAATATTAAATAAGAAAAGTATGTTAATCAGAAAAAAATAAGCAGTGTTGAAAGATGGGCTACTGTTTCAACAATATGGTCTGATTTACAGGATAAATGAGCATATGTGGTAAACATTATACAAATCAGTTTGCGTAAAGTTGAACAACTTGTGACCTTGTGAACTTAGACGCTTTTTAAAAATTAACCAGCAAATACCAGTGTTTTCATTTGGGAATGTCCAACGTTCCGACGAGCAGCTAACATAAATCATTTCAGAAGACATCATTTGAAGCGACTTAACAGAGACAATTCAATCAGATCATACCGTCAGATTGGTTCAAAGTTTCCTATCTAAGGAAAAGCAGCTGATTGCATCGACTAATTGACTCGACAGCAACCCTCTTACCAAGCATGCATGCAGCGACAGTAGAGAGGAAAACTCCCTTTTAACAGGAAGAAACCTCCAACAGAATCAGGTTTAGTGTGAGCAGACTTCTGCCAAGGAGATAGAAGAAGACATAAAAAATGAGTATAGAAGCACCGATTTACAAATACAGTAAACTGTTGACCAGATGAGCTCTAAAGCAGTTTTCATGTCAAAAGGATGAAAGACAGCACATACAGTAATTTACAGTAAAAGCTGAGCACATAGCTATGCCTAGGATAGAAAAAGGACTAGGCACTGTAAAATTGGCTCAACTCTATAATCTATAATCAAAGATGTTGATATTTTTCTCCAGGATGGTGCCACAGCCAAACAGAAATAGAGCAGATGGGAAAAGCAGAGAGAATGTAGAGTTAAGGGTTGAACTAACAAATACTGCAGAATAGGAGAATAGATAGACGGAAGCAGAGTGATGTAAAGTGATCCCTACTTCCTCCAGCAGTCTAAGCCTATAGAGGCATAACTATAGAGATACCTTAAGATAACCTGAGCCGATGTAAATATAATCTTTGTCAAAAATGACAGTTTCAAGCCTAGCCTTAAAAGTAAACATGGTGTCTGCCTCATGGACTAACAACCAGATGTGTATAGCTGGCAGATCATCAATAAATCATGCTACTAATTGTCTGCAGTCTGAAGAAGTCAGACTATGTAGTTAGGGAACAGAAAAGGCCTGAGAATAAAGCCTTGAGGAACACCATGTCTAATCTTAATTTCCTGAGATCTTTAATGCAAATGGAAAAAGGAAGTCACTAAACAGCTTATTTCTAGTCTTATAAAAAAAAAGACATCAGGCTAGATATGGACCCATAGTTATTCTTCTTCAGTGATCAGTGATTTTTTTTAAAGCTTGGGGTTACACAACCTGGACTATCACTGATGTATACGATCATAATTTCATCTGATTTTTCTTCTGTAGAGCAATTGACTGCCAGCTTTTGATAACGTTTGAGCATTTTCTGGGGCTTTATCCTGTTGAAGAAAAACTATACAGCCTTACTATGTTCAACACACTGCAATCTCTGTGCCGTTATTGCTGTCACATAAGAGATGGCCAGTTAAACACTTTAGTTTTCACTTTCTCATCCCTAAAATACTTGTTTCCACTTATGGCTTTTTTTGTAGACATGATTGGATTTGTTCTTTTGATTTTTTTCTTTTATGCCTCAAATCATAATTGAAGTGACTGAATGAATAAGCCTATTCCCAAAACAAAGCATTTTAATTTATAACCCTTCCTTAAGTTCAGCAGATTGTTGTGACTGCTTGTTTCTATGCATGTAGACAGTCTATTTGTCAGGTTGTTTCTACTTCTTCAGCCTTTTAATGACGCTCTACAACATTTGTAGCGATAAAGCTGCAATGCTGTGCCTGAAACACTAATGTTGCTGGGTTCCTTCATTAGCACTGAAAATGGGGCTCATCTGTTGGTGAGGAATTTCATAGAAATATATAAATTGCAATAAATATTGCTGGTACCAAAAATACAGTTTATAGCTGTACTGTTATTAGGGATGAAAAATAATTCAGCTAAAGCTAGATCTACCATACTTCATCATCATTGTAGAACGCTTTAAAACAGCTACAGCTGAGAACAAAGGCCTTTACATAGCTAAAAATAATGAGACAAAATAAAAATATAAAATAATATAATATAATAATTTTTTTAAGCTACACAATATTACAACAACTAAGTCCTGCCAGTGTTAAAAGCCAGCAAACAAAAGTAAAAGCCGTCTAGCATAAGCTGGCTAGAAACAGCAACACCCATAAAAATTAGAGGAAGCATGAAATATAGCATTTAAAACCCTGAATTTTGAAGTAACTAAATAAAAAATGTAACCTAAACCATGTAGTAAATGTACCGCTATTATTTTTAAAATGATCCAGCCAGAGCCACTCATCTATGATGCTACTGAAGAGGTGGTTTTAATTTTAGAAATGGAAATAAAAGCCGTTTTGGCAATATTGCACATTTCCACTGCTTCCATAATTGTAATTATTGAGAAAAGCAGAGTAGTTTATGTACGTACTCAGCAACCATACGGTAAACATACAGGCAGTATAACATTTAATGTCATGGGTTTTTTCTTTGAGCCTGTAAAAGTCCCTTTGTAAAGAAAAAAACATTAAAGGAACAATAAAGACGAGGTAAAATTGATGATACTGCCTTTGTGTTGCTGTTACTCATTTTAATGACTGCATTTGACAAGTGGTAGGAGATGAGATGAACTCATCTGGGTTTAAACAATAAGTGTATTTAAAAGGTAATTGATGAAAGCATGCAGCAACCATATTGGGAACATACAATGGCTCATGGATCGTTTCTGGGAGACTGTAAAAGTCCTGCTTGAAATACAGTATCCCTCCATACAGGTAGAACTGTATGTAAACAATAAATAACTTAGGAGGGTTTGTTTAATTTATGTGCGACATAAGATTTAGAGTAAAAGCAGTGATGTCGTGTTTGTATTAATGCACCATCAGCTTTCTGTGTATGCAGGCACTGAGCTTTAACATGATTTATACAGTAGCAGCAGGACCTATACAATCTCTGTACAAACAGAGTGTGGTAAAGTCTTACATTCTTGGAGGTAATGTACTCCATTCCTTTAGCAACCTGGTAGGAAAAGCTGAGGAGGTCTTCAGCATCCAGAGAGAGTTCTTCTATGTAATCTGAAATAAAGATTCCATTAGTCAGCTTCAGTACAGGAAGCTGCTGCACCCTAAATGCACCAGGAGCAGCAGCTGTAAGACTCTATAACCACTGTTCCAAGCAATCTCAATAAGTTGTTACATTCATGCAGTTTCTATCTTAGTCCGTTGAATAACATGCTGCTGTCATTTTGCACATCTCTGATGTTGCTGCTATTTTCAAATATCTATTACTGCAGAAATGTCCATAGCTGTATATTGGATATTTATTCTCCAGGTGCACAGTTTTTATACTGTTAAAAAACACTTTACAGTACATTATTTTATTGTTTATCTTTTAACTCTTCACTATTATGTCATTCTTATATGTTTTTCTAATGTCCAAATTTGTGTGACCATTTTTTAATAATCTTTTTACTGCTGTAAGCACCAGAATTTCCCCATTAAAGAGATTTTCTATTCTATTTGCTTACTTCACTGCACGTTTGGGTAAAAATGCAAAAGAGGTACCTGACTGGGAGGATCTTTCTTTCTCAGAAGGACGCATAGGGATGTATCCTGTACCAGTTGCATCCCTGCTACACAAAAATATGTACACAGTCTTATGTGGTAAATTGAACCATTTTACTGGTATAATTAAAGCTGGGAATTTTGCACACATGAATACCTTGTCGGCTCCGACTGCTTTGAAACGTTGCGATAGTAACCATCACCATCCTGGGAGCTCAGGAACGACTCTCTTTTTCTTCGAAGGAAGTTGAGCAGGTCACCATAGCAACAGTACTCTGTGATCACCAAAATTGGGCCTGGCAGGATTCAGGGATTTAAAAAAAACACATTAAGGGAACAATAAAGATGAGACAAAAGATGATGATACTGCCTTTGTGTTGCTGTTAGTCATTTTAATGTCTGCATTTGACAAGTGGTAGGAGATGAGATGAACTCATCGGGTTTTAACAAAATATCTGTCAGGACATAACTCGTAATGAGGATCTTTACATGCCTTTAAAACATCTCTCAAGTGCTTTATGTGTCCATAACATAATAACATTGCATCCTCTTAGTTAGAAACCAATAAAAAGGCAGGATCCCAGTCAATACTGAGGTCTAGGTGGGCAGGTAATTGACATTGATCAGTGGTAAATTAGTGACAAACCGAACTACATCATGTCCTTCCCTTAGAGCTGGGCGGTATCTGATTTAGAACAGATATTGAGCAATCAGCGGGTGAGCAGACAAACAGATAAAGTATGTTTCTAATCATTAAAGGCAATCTTCCAAACAGTAGTGACTGCCATTAAAGACTAAACATCATTCATTTTCAGTTCCAGATAACTCAAATAAATAAAAAATTGTTTTATTAAAAGTAGATCACAATCTTTGATGATTCTGGTCATTTTAGCATTATGATTTTATTGATTTTTTTGCATGGCTTTCTGTTTGAAATAATATCAAGGTTCAGTTCATGGATGAACCATACTGTATACTTAATCACCGGTTTTGAATGTAGTGTTTTTATCTTACCTCCAACAGTGCAGGCTCCCAGCAGGTTAACGATGTTCACGTGGTTTCCAAGATAACTAAGAACCTTCAGCTCAGACATCAGTGCCTCCTTCTCCGTGGAATGTGCATTAGCTAAGAGGACATTGGTAAATGTACTCTCTATTTCTCGGTTCCATGCTGCATACATCATGAGAGAAAGGCCAAACTGACTGACTTACGTTTTAGCATCTTAACAGCAACGGTTGTGACAGTATCTGCAGAGCAAAGTCCATATGCAGTGGCCCTCACCACCTTTCCAAACGCCCCAGAGCCCAGGGTTTTACCTTTAAGATAAAAAAGCAATAGTGCTCTAATTTCAGGATTTTATCAGTAAGATTTACTTCAAATATTTCAAGATGTTAATATACTGTATGTTTCTTGTTACAGTTGACTCTTTTTGTCCTCATTGAGTTTAAATCAAGATCAGTGCGTCCTGGATGTTAAAAAAAAAGAAATCACAGTAGTCTATAAATGCTGTACTTAGAAAGTGTAGTTACGATTGATCTTTCTTGAGGGAAATGGAGGGAGGAGACTTTAGTGAATTTTGCTCCAATATTGTTGCAAGCAAAGCAATCATTTTGTAAATGATAATTTTAAAAAAGAACGAAAAAAAACAAATCCAGAAATAAAACTTAAAAAAAGGTTTGAATATAAAAAATGTTTTAAGAGTAACTTGGCTGTTTTCTCAGATATTTTTTTATTTTATTTTATGTTTTCACTTAATTTTATTACTGCATTTTTTTTTTAAACTTTTTTTATTTTTATATTTTCACATTTTTGAATTGCATTTCATTTCAGAACATGTTCTGCGTTTTCACAGGTCATGTTCTCTTGATGCTCACATCGACCAATAAAAAGGTTGTTGCTAACAACAACTCCGCCATCTTTGTTATTTGTTGCCACTTTCGCAACAGTGGTCACTACTTTTTAAGGTGCATAGTGGGAAATTTCGAGTCCAATACTTTTTCATCCACTAGACGTTTGGAAACTCATCTAAAATGACAAAATATTTTCGTCCAAAAAGATAAAAATATTGTCTTTTTGGACAAAGACATTTGGAAAGTTTTCAACAACAATGGAAGAAAAGTCACTCCATACTTTTGCTCCCTACTGAGTAAACACATTCTAGTTAGTGTAACTAAAATAAAACATGTATTAAAAAACACAATCCTTAAGGTTCAAGTGAAAGATCTGTATTTTTGGTAGGAAAAACATTACAGGTCCCATTATTAGACCTTGTTTCACAGATGGAGATCATTGGTGGAGCACTACCTCCTACTTCCCTGAGAAAATAATCTTTGGTTTCTTTGTAAATTACTCCTGAATTCATACCATCATAAAATAGGGTTTTTTATAAACTGTAACGATGTGTCTGAGGTTGGAGTTGTTTTTAAAGCGGTAGACGTCCCCTTTGGACTTGATTCCTTTCATGACAGCTGTTAGCTTTTGGTGTAATCCCCATTGACAAGTCTATGGTCAATAAACAAGAGTCAATTTTCACTCATAAACACTGGGCGTGTTTTCATGAGGTGTGTAGGGCAGAACAGATTATTGGACTCGGGTCTTGAAAGCTTGTCCAAGTTTGATGCCAAACTTGAAATTTCATCATCTAACATGACTAATCTTGGGTCTTGTATACACAGTCACATACAGATTTTACCTTTAAAGTCCTGAGCTAACCCTTAAAACAATGGCTAGCAAGACAATAAGGGATGTCGTCATACCAAAGCGAAGCTTCTGTCGAGGAAACTCCCATTTCAGGTCATATGGCAGCTGGAGGGGGTCAATGTAGATGTAGTTGTTTCCGTTAATGCTCTCAATGACCTTCCACTGAATCTGGAACTTTGGTTTCTGTGATGGATGGAGAAAGGGGCTTACACAGAGAAAAACTCACAACACCTTATCATTATTACTTGATTTACTTCCCAGCATTGCTGATATCATTTTATGACTATCATCCTTTTGTATTACTTTCATTACCCCTTTCTCTAAAGTCTGGTTGATCAATGCTGTTTACTTGACAGCTTTAGTCTAGACTTCACCCTCAGGATCCTGCTGCAGATGCACCCGCTGGTACTGAAGGAGCCTGACTCATCGGAGCACAGCAAAAGCAACGCGCTCAGGGAGGTGAATTAACGACTTAAAGCATCAGAGTGTCAAGAAATCCTTTAACTCCGCTGTGTTTTCACTCTAAATGGTTAATTGACTCTGTTCAAATTCATTAGCACACATTCATACTGATTAAAATAACATGCTTTTCCTCTTCTGTGCAAAAACTTTGTCACCGAGCCCAAGGAGACGGATGTCTCTAACTTTAACACCCTCTGCACGCAGTGGAGGCAGACCTTATTAGTAAATGAGGACAGGATCTTTGCCAACAGCTACTGAAGCTATTTACAATTCTATGATGAAAAAATGTCAGTGCTTCTCACTGGAGTTCATTAAACAAGGGTGTGTAGCAACTGATATGTAGGTTTGTAAAGGATTAATTGCACAGATGTGACGTTTATGATGGCTGATCATAGGTTTACTGCTGCATTTGGAATATGGTAGGTACTGGTTTTACATGTTAAGCTTAAACTAAAAGCTTAAACTAAGCTTAAATTAGAATAATTATCTCCTGAAATTAGAAAGGAAAATCAATTAGTTGAGCAAAAATGCATGAGAAAAAACTGATCTCTTACATGACTGTGAGTTAACTAACCTCTATAACTTCCTAATCTTGTTCAGGGTGCAGCCGTCTTTGAACGGGTCACTGATCCATGACAGAGCCCACACCGAAACTAAAGATCAACCAATACAGGTTCCTTTAAGGCTGATTATCGAGACAATCGAGACAACTTATGTTTGCTGTTGATTTTTTTAAAGGTTCATATTGCTTTTTTACCCCCTCCACTTACATAATAGAAGTATGCAAATATAACAAATTTTACAAAGTCTAAATTTATACAAGGATGAAATATTATTTAACAAATCAGAGATTAACAAAGGATAGCTAATGGAGGGAGCGGCAATGCATGTGCTTGACATCATCTTAAGGCTTGGCTGCAGTCACAAATTGGTGACTGCAGGCACTTAGCGGCCACTGCGATTCAAAGGACCCTGCTAATATCGGCCGCTAAATGTATCCATCTATGTCTAACAAAGACAGTTTAGAGCAGGCATGCCCAAAACAATTAGCCGATTCTGATTGTTGTTCAGCAAAAGCCTGTCAATAGAAATCTACGGAAGAGGATTAGGGCCACTGAAAAAAAAAAAAAGTTAACAGATTTTGTTTAATTTTTTTTCAGTATAGTAT